TCGCGAGTGGCGGTGCAGCTAGTCGGTGGCGCGGGTGCTGGCGACCGGCAGAGAGATGCAGCCGGCGCGAGAGATGAACCCTGCGGAGAGGCGAGGTGACGGGCGAGCCGCGACCGTGGGAGAGGGCTGAGCATCGGCTGCACCGGAGGCACAGGAGCCTCGCACGCCCGACCGTGACGAGAGCGCCCTGACGCTGGCAGCTCAAGCAGCGTCAGGGCGCTACCAGCACCGAATGGGTCTCCCCAGAAGTTCCTCCTTTCCGCTCCCCCCCCCCCCCCCCCGCAAGGCGCGAGACACAACAAGGTTGCCGAGGCCAGGCCTCTCAGTTCACGCCGGAATCGTGAACCGTGAACCGTGAACCAACTAGCCCCCGCCCCGAGTCGTGAACCCCGAACCGTGAACCGACTAGCCCCGACCCCAAGTCTGTGAACCGTGATCCGTGAACCGACTCCTCCCGCGACACCCGCCGCGAACCGTGAACCGTGAACGAACCGAGTCTGGCGAACCGGCGGTGAACCGCCGGTTCGCGAACCCAGTTCGCGAACTGGTTCGTGAACCGCCCCCACCAAGTTCGCGCGGCGGTTCGCGAACTGGGTTCGCGAGAACTGGTTCGTGAACCGCCCCACCAAGTTCGCGCGGTTATCAACTAATTCTAACCGCGAACGACTGCGAATCAAACTCGATGGAGACCTACTTGCCGGGCTCATAGTCCTTCTCGAGTGCTTGCGCATTTACTCCAATGAAGGCGCGGTTCATGCGGAGAATCACCACCATCGAGTACTCCTCCGCGTTGAGACTGAGGCGGTGACAGTGCACCACCTGCTTGGCGCAGAAAGACTCGGCCATGAGGGCGCCGATCTGGCCGGTCGAGCAGCTCCCGCCATCGCTGGGAGTGGCTGCTTCTCAAGGTCGCGTAAATCCGTCCCATGTCCAGGTGAAGCTGGTCGATGAGGTCGTCTGAGGATCGAAGTCGTACTTGTCGTTCTCCCAAGCGCGATATGAGTTCGAAAGTAAAATCCGTAAGTTGTCGGCGTCGGAGGTGCGTGGGCGGCAACTGTATGTTAGAGCTGAGGGGCGACAGACGGCCGGCGGGCAGAGGCACAGGCTGTGGCACAGGTAGCCCATCATCTCGTCGATCGAACTCCCGCCACTTTGTTCCGGCTTTCGCCGCGCGCTGGTTCGAATTTCTGGGTCTCGGTTCACGGATGGTTCGCGAACTGTGGTTCGCGAACTGTGTCGGTGTGTAAGAGGTGTGAAAGTAAGCTTGGTTCATGAACTAGTTCAGTGGTTCACCCTCGAACCGACCATGAACTCTGAACCGTGAACTCGAACCGAGGCAGGACAAAAGGGCGAACCGCGAACCGTGAACGAACCAGGCGGGGCAGCGTCGGGCCGAACCGTGAACCGTGAACCGACTAGCCCCCGCCCCGAGTCCGTGAACCGCGAACCGTGAACTAACCGTGAACCGCGAACTGGTTCATGAACCGGGTTCACGGTTCACCTCGTGAACTGAGAGGGCTGGCCGAGGCTGGCGAGACTGCGAGGTGTGCCGAGTCTCGGGGTTTTTGTCTGGCCGAGTCAACCTGGGGCGAGCCTCGGCGAGACTGCGTCTCCTCAGCTGTTCCCACAGCAGGCTGGAAGTACCTCGCCAGTGCCGAGGGGGAGGACCGGGAGGCGGTAAGTAAGTCGTCGATACGTCGTCGCTCGGCGCTGCTTGCACGTTGCCAACGATTCGTTGCAGCACCATGGCGATGGCGCTTAAGAGGTTCCTCTTTTCCGCGCCCCCCCCCGCAAGGCGCGATACATGATACATGATATACGGTAAGAGGGGGGGGGGGGGGCGGGGGGCGTCTTTTTCAGTGTATGTGGCGGTCTTTTTATTTGAACAAACCAAGAAGAGTACATGACGCCGGTTGACGCCCTCTACCGTAGCAATTGTACGCGTTGGGGTCTGGACTGCCGGCGCGTGTCTTTTATACTTAAGTGAGCGGTCGTCCCCCAGCGACGCCGAGATCGAGATCACTCGAGATCACCCGAGATCGCTCTAGGCGTCGAGATACGTCTCCAGCTCCCACGGCGTGAGCTGCGCCATGTACTCGGCCCAGTGCGCCCGGCGCAACTTGAGGTAGCTGTCCACGAAAGCGTCGCCCAGGCCCGACCGGAGCGGGCTCGAGGCATCGAGCGCCTCGAGCGCGCCGGCCAGGTTGCTCGGCAGCGGCGGGGAGGCCTGAGGTGGGGCAAGGTCAACTCTTCCACACGCGCAAGGTGGTGGGGCAAGGGCCGGGCAGCCCTCGCGACAGAGGGGCACCGCAGTAAATCATGTCATGCACGTGTGAATGCAAAATGCAGAAGTGTAATGCAACTGTGGCTGTGGGTGAGTGATGAGTGGCGGGGGGGAGAAGGGGGGGCGGCGGCCTTGATGGCGGCGGCGACGACCGGATCGGAGGCGTCGTACATGTTGCGGTCCTGCACACCAGGGAGGCTCGGGTAATCTCGGGCAATCTCGGGTAATCTCGGGCAATCTCGGGTAAGTCTAGGCGTGTGGTCCGTCGGGTAATCTCGGGTAATCTCGGGTAGTCTCGGGCAATCTCGGGCAATCTCGGGTACTCTCGGGTAATCTCGGGTAATCTCGGGTAGTCTAGGCTTGCGGTCCGTCGGCGGCGGCGGCACACTCCGCGCTCGCAGGCCGTCGAGGCCGGCCGCGCCGATGGCGGCCGCCATCAGGTACGGGTTGGCGCTCATGTCGGCCAGCCTATTGGGAGGTAGCCCACTGTCGGCTGGTGAGTCGGTGGGTTCGGCTTCGCGCTCCTGTCCGTGTCGAGCCGCAGCTCCATGCGGTGCTCGTCGGGGACGCGGATAAGCGCGGTGCCTACCGTGCTGAAGGCGCCAGCCTCGGGGCGGGAGTACGGTATTGTGCAGTGTCTTCAGAGCACCGCGTGAGTACGAGGGGTGCGAGGACAGTGAGTACCGCGGAGTCCGTGTCCTCTCGAGCGCTACTCGAAACACGAGAATGCGTCTTCCGCCTCTAGGGCTGCGGTGCGGTTGTTCCCCGCCCACGTGGCGGCCGTCGGCGACCTGCCAATGCATGTGTGACCCTGTCATGCGGCCCCCGGACCGACAGAGGACCTCGACTCTTGGCAGGGTAGAAATGGGTTCGGCTATACCGGGGGTAGGGGACCCCCCACGCGGAGTAGTCACACAGCACATGCACATGTGCTCTCGGCTACTCTCGGCTACTCTCGGCTACTCTCGGCTACTCTCGGCTAATCACGGCTGTCAGTGCACCACGTCGCCCCCGAAGAAGTCATGCGCGCGCCCAGCCGCTTGGACGAGCCGAGGGTTGGGTTGGTGGCTTGAGATGGGACCGAGATGGGCCGAGATGGGCCGAGATGGGCCCGAGATTGCCCAAGGTTGCCCGAGATTGCCCGAGGCTTACCTTGTACGAGTTGACGGTCGGGTTGGTGAGCGCCGTGAGCGCCGGCGCGTGGGCGAGCAGGCCGGCGGTGAAGGAGAGCGCCAGCGGAGAGAGCCCGTGCATCTCGAGGGGGGGAGATACAGGCGAGGTATAGCCGAGGCATAGCCGAGGCATAGCCGAGGCATAGCCGAGAAATCGCCGAGAAATCGCCGAGGTGAGGCCGAGGGTGAGGCCGAGGTGAGGCCGAGGTGAGGCCGAGGTGAGGCCGAGGCGAGGCCGAGGTGAGGCCGAGGGTGAGGCCGAGGTGAGGCCGAGGTGAGGCCGAGGTGAGGCCGAGGTGAGGCCGAGGTGAGGCCGAGGCGAGGCCGAGGTGAGGCCGAGGTGAGGCCGAGGTGAGGCCGAGGTGAGGCCGAGGGTGAGGCCGAGGTGCGCCTCGGGCGCGCCGCCCTGGCAAAGGTTCTTGCCCGTGCCCGGCTCGTGCAGCGAGACGTGTGCGTGGCAGCCGGAGCCGGTCAGCGACGCGAAGGGCTTTGGCATAAACGTCGCGCGGAGGCCGGCCCGCTCGGCCAGCGAGCGCACCATGTACTTGAAGAGCACCACGCGGTCGGCGGTCACCTGTGAGTGCATGAGTTCGCTCGAGCCAACTTGACCGCTCGCGCAGCACAACGCGGTCGGCGGTCACGGGGGCGTCGTCGAAGCAACCTCGGGCAATCTCGGGCAATCTCGGGTCATCTCGGGCAATCTCGAGTCATCTCTCGTAATCTCGGGCAATCTCGGGTCTCTCGGGCACTCTCGCCAGGGCGTCGTCAAAGTCCCAGTTGATCTCGAACTGGCCTGTTCGGAAGGGTCGGCACTGCTCAGTGCCACGCGCGCGCACGGAGGACCCTCCGCATCGGTCGCGGTCGGGGCCGTTGGCGTCCTCGTGGTCCGCCTGGTACGGGCCCCAGCCGAGTTGCTCCATGTGGCTCACCAGCGTCGAGATGAGCTCGTACCTGCGGGGAGATACGGGGAGATATGGGGAGGTACGGGGAGATATGGGGAGATACGGGGAGATATGGGGAGGTACGGGGAGGTACGGGGAGATACGGGGAGATACGGGGAGATATGGGGAGACATGGGGAGACATGGGGTGATGAGCTCGTACCGGCGCATGAGCGCGTGCGCGTCATAGCACGGCTTCGCCTGCACGTCGAGATCACCCGAGGTCACCCGAGATCACCCGAGATCACCCGAGGTCATCCTAGATTGCCCGAGATTGCCCGAGATTGCCCGAGATTGCCCGAGATTGCCCGAGAATACCCGAGAATACCCGAGATCACCCGAGATCGCCCGCGTCATACCACGGCTTCGCCTGCACGTCGAGCGGGTCGGAGAGCGCCGGGCGGGCGGCGGGCGCGCTGCCGTCGAGGAGGAAGAACTCGCACTCTACGCCCGTCTTGAGCGCCACGCCGTGCTCGGCCAGCCTGGCCTGCACCGAGAGGAGCTCATACTGGTTAACGGCACGTGGGCACGACAGGGACTCAGATCGACTCATGGTCAGTGAGCTCGAGTGTCCCGCTCGGCCGCTTGGCCTGCGCAGCCGTAGTTCATACAGTAATTGATACAGGGTAAGTAGTCTTGAGTATGATGCGTGCTCTCCTGTTCTCGCCGCTCACTGTCTGTCTCAGTGCGTGCGTGTCCCGTCTCCCCGGTCCCTGTGCGGGTTGAAGCCACGTTTCCTGCCGCCAGTCACTTGGGCGTGGATAGTGGTCCGATCTGTGCAGCTCAGGTCGCCTACTATTGCTGCTCAGATCACCTACTAGGTACTACTGCTGGCTTGGCCTGCACGCTGCGCAGCACGTTGCGAGGGCCGTGGGCGAGCTCCGTGTCCTCGTGCACAAGGTTGCAGCTGAGCCAGCCGACCTCGGGCTGCCACGGCAGCGGCGTGAGCGTCGCTGCGTCCGGAACGGCGAGCAGATCGCCCATCGTCGGGTCCATGTCGAGGTGCGCTGCGAAGCCTGCGAAGCCCGCGCCACCCTCTGCAATCTCCGCGACGCGAGAGGCTGGCACGAGCTTGCTTCGCTGCACACCAAAGAGGTCGACGAAGGAGAACTGGTAGAACTTGAGGCCGGCGGCGGCGCCTCGCTCGGCAATCTCGGCCGCGGCAGTGCTCATCCGCCTCAAGAGGTGGCGCGAGAGCAGTCGCGGCCGCGAAGAGGCGGCGACGCGCGAGAGAGCGCGGCGGTGCATGACGGCGGAGAATGAATGATCCGCGAATTGCGTGTTTTGCGGCAAGAGATGCCAGAGCGCGAAGATGAACCGGCTGGGGGTACGCGCAAAAAGAATTCATGGCCACGTGCGTGCGAGCGTGTGTGTGTGTGTCGATTAGCACACAGGTTCGACAATGGCAGTTAGCGGACGTCGCCGCGGCTCGTCTCTGCCGCGGCGGCTGCTGCGCGCACGTGGTGTCGCCGCTCTCTCGCGAGACGGCTGGCGACGCGGCTCGCGGCCGACGTACGCTGCGCTCGTCCGACCGCCCGCGGTGTGGCGTGCGCGGCGCTGCGCACCGCTCTGCGAGCGCTTCTGCGCTGCTTTGAGTAAAGTCCACTGTATATGAGCTGCTGCCTCGCTGCTGCGAGTTGACATATCCGGTGATGTGCGAGCGTTCCGTTCGTGCGTCGACTGGCTCCCGGTTCGAGTCGCCGGGGGGGAGGGGGGGGCCTCCTCGGCCTCCTCGGCCTCCTCGGCCTCCTCGGCCTCCTCGGCAGCCTCGGCTGCTTGGCGCACGCGGCGCGCGAGCCGCGCCGCGCTGCCTTTTTGCTCGCTGCCTCCGTTGTCGGCTCGGCCGTTCCGTCTCCTCGCTCTGGCTCGGGCCGTGGGCGTGCTGCTGCTGCTGCTCGGCACTGTTGTCGCCATTTTCAATCTCTCTCTCTCTGCTCTCTCTCTCTCTCTGCTCTCTCTCTCCCTCTCTCTCTCTCTCTCTCTCTCTCTCTGTCTCTCTCTCTCTCTCTCTCTCTCTCTCTCTCTTTCTCTCTCTCTCTGAGGGGTGTGTGTCTCTTTTTTTCTCCCTCTCCCTCTCTGTCTCTCTCTCTCTCTCTCTCTCTTTCTCTCTCTCTCTCTCTATCTCTCTTTCTTTTTCCCCCCCCCCCCCCCCCTCCCTCTCTCTCTCTCTCTCTCTCTCTCTCTCTCTCTCTCTCTCCCCCGGGCCAGCTGCACGCACGCTCGGTGACATCTCTTCACCTTCACACTGGTCGAGTCATAGGTGACGCGAGGGCGCTCACTTAATTGATTAATTCACTCATTAATTCCTTAATTGCGTACCGTATTCCGGGTAATCTTAATTATTCATCATCGGGCGGGGCGCGGCGCGGCGGCTGCGCGAGGCGGCGGCGCGGCGCGGCGGCGGGCGGCGCGGAGCGGGGCGGCGCGACCATCTGCACTGATCAGGCCTTCGGCCTTTGAGGCATGTTCGAGGTGACAGTGTGTCTGGGCCGCAAAACGCTCTCGACGAGAGCCACGGGCCGGGCTCAAAAGGGTCCGATTTGCGGCGAGAAGCGCACAGCGCGCCGAGGTCGTATCGCGCGGCGTAGAGTGCACCATCGGAATCAGAAACGGAAGGCTTCGCCAGGCGAGGAGCGCGGGAGGCACGCCGAAAGCAGAGTCGGAGCTGGAGACGCCGAGCGCGATGAACGGCGCGATAACGGGAACATAAAGGAATGGGAGCATAATCAGAGTTACTGCGGGCCAGAACACGAAGGCTAGGAGGGTCTCAACGCACGAGCGCAGCAGGCGGGCGGACGTCATGGCGACGAGCAAGGTTTGGCTGGGGGTGCAGCCGGAGAGGACGGGCGCACAGGGGTACGGCCGGAGGTCGCCACAAGAGGGCCGTGCGGTTTCTTTTGTGCGGTTCGTTATATAGCTAGGTAGGTAGGTAGAAAGGTGAAGAACAGCCAGGCGCGGACTGGACACCAACGCGGTATGGGTGGACGCTGGACAGATGATGACGGCACGCACGAGCGACACACAGACACAAACAAGCTCACAAGACACACAGCCAGCGGGCTGCCACACACCCTGAGTCGGCTTACACATAACTCAAGGCCATATCCTCCCTGTCGCCCCCCCCAGCACTCCACGGTGCCAAGAGTACAAACAAGGGCACAACGACACAACAGACGACAGGAAGTGACATGCGAGGCTAGAGCAGGCTTGCTCATATAGCTACTGCTGCAGCAACTCGGAAAAGAATTTAAACAAAAGAACTCTCTCTCACAGCACACTCGGAAAAGAAGAAAGTCGGTGTCCCATTGCTTGTCGGCGGACCGCACCCCCGTTCACCGAGGACCGAAGGTGGAAGATGCGGAAGGCTTTGCTCAGCACCTCAGTCACGTTGGCCATCGCTCTTCTCGCCGACGGTCAGGCGAAGTTGGTCACTGGCCTCCAAGCGACGGAAGCGCCGCCCGAGGCGCCACCCGAAGAAACAAAGCAGGCGGGGCTCGGTGCCGTGCGCGCGAGATCTCTCGAACCTGAGGACGACGACGAGGACGACGCCGAGGACGACGACGAGGACGACGACGACGAGGACGGAACAGTCACAGAAGAAATTGGCAGTGGGATCTTGCCGGGTGAATGGGCGTCCCTCAGCATGGAAAGTGGCGCCGCGCCGAGGCCGCGCCGCAGCATCACCGGCTTCGCTGCCGGCTTCCTCACAGCGACCATTGCCTATGTGTTTTGGGCCGGACTTGGCGTGGAATTTGCGGCGAGCTTGCTCACAGCGACGGCTGCGTTTGCAGCGAGGGGGTCGATGTCGGCACGGCAAAACCCTCGGCCTGTGCTCGTGTAATATCGGCAAGAACTCGGCAGAGCCGTCTGCAGTGCTGCACACCGCTCGAGAGGATAGACATATTAAGGTGGCAATCGAGTGTCGCCGAGCGGCTCTCTCTCGCGTGGACATCCGCGTCTACTGTGAATCGTCGAGATTTCCATAGTTAGGTAGGGGCCGTAGAAGAGATATAGACAGACGCGTCTGCAACCCACGATTCTCCCCCCACCGGTAGAGCGCTATCGTGAGCGTTCCTGCACTGCGTGTGGCGGCTCGTGTGGCAGGTTGCACGTTTAGTATTTTTTTGCGAAGTTCATGCTTCGCGTCGCCGCGCTGCTTCTTTCTCCTGGCCGCGGCTGGTTGGTCCCTTGTCGCAGTTAGGGGGCGTGCGCAGCGCCCCAAAATCCAGTGGCGCCGGTGGACATGCTCCCATGTTGCCGACGCGGCGCCGGAGTGGCCGGCGCTGCTCGCCGCGACCACGACGGCTACTCTGATGCTCCGGGCCGACCCGTCCTACCCGACGGTGGCACTCTTCCACGACCACGTCTCGCTCACGCTGAGAAAAAATCTGAAACGGCGTGCAGCAGAGTCACCGACGAGTCGGTCCGCGTGACTCCTCGTGTCCCGTACCTTTCTCACACATCAATAAACTCACTTTGTTTGGCCCCACTGAAGCGATGCCTGAATCCTGAATCCTAAGATTTTGGATTAGGACGCTGCGCACCCTCTATCGCAGTCACACCACACACACACCGCCGCGCCGCGCGCACACGCCCACCGCCCCCCGCCTTGGTGGGAAAGAGATGAGGAGATGAACAGCCAGAGAGAGATTTTTTGAGCTTAGCCTTCGATGTTAGGAAACAAAGCAAGGCGGACATGGCATATCGCTCTCGGGCCCACAGACATCCCGCACACTCGCCTCACACCCGCCGCCCCCGCGCGCGCCCCACCCCGGCCGGGAGAAAGGGGAGTGACAGATTTTTTTCCCGTGAGACCGACGACACTCAGAAAAACTCCGGCGCGTTGCATGTGTTGTATGGAGGGTGGGCGCGACGAGACGACCACTCTCGGCGATTCTAACCAGCAGCAGGGGAGGCCGGCATCATCGGCCTCGAGCTCTGCTCCACCAGCTCCTGCCCGGGTCACATTGCCGTGGCACCAATTCGCCTCCCGCTTCCCGACTCATGCGCTTGCGGCACTCCACCAGCAACTGGAGCCCGTTGGCAGACAGTTGCCGGTGCATCATCAGCAGCAGCTGTTGATGCTGCAGAGGCAGCAGCGAGCCCTGCTGCTCCACCTCCTCGACGCTCCACATGCCACACCCTCCGCACAGCCAAATGCTCCGAATGGCTTCACCGCCGCTGCCGCTGCCGCCACCACGATTCAGTGCGAGCAGCCTCACGACTCTGCCGGCGCGCCGGAGCCGCCATCATCCTGCATCTCGTCGCCACCGTCGCCGCCAACTCTGCCGTGCGATCTAACAGCGAAAACGCGGCAGAGTCAGCCGATCCACGTTGCGGTGCTCATCATCGGGCTTGTGTCCGTGAATCTGGCGGATCTTGGAGAGGAGCACCGCCTCATCCACCTGGCTGCTGTGCTCGCATGCCTGGTCTTGCTCGCCCAAGTGACACTTGCTGCACGTGCCAGTACGAGGCTCGGGTGCATTCTGTTGACAGCGCACGGCGGCGTCCAGCTCGTCTGCAGTTTTGTCTCCTCCATCTCTGGGCATGAGAAACTTCTCGCGAAGGGGGCTTCTCTTGGAACGGCAGGAATTGCGACTGGCTACGGAGCGGTGGGCGTCTGGCTCGGTTCCCACCACCAGGAGGTCCTGTCAATGCGGGAGAAGGTTGGGACCGCCTCTGTCCTAGGGACGGTGTCTGTGCGCCTGCCTGAACTGGCTCCGTCGCACGGAGGACATGCGAGCACTGCTCGTGCCGCTGAGCTTCAACCATCTCAGCTTCTACCTTGGCTTCTTCTCCTCCTTGGGTGCTGAGCGAGCCCGACTGACTGAGCTCCTCCAGGGGGCTGCACGCCAGCTAGACGGCACAACTGTGTATTGAGGCCGGTAGTCGTTAGAGTACAATGTACCCGAGGCGGTTCCGCGAAGTGTACCTTCCTATGCCGCCGTTGGCACCCCAAGCACCGCTGTTCTTTCCAGCCTTCCGCGTTCTCGCTCACGAGCTCCGAGTATTAATGCCACCTCTCGGTCAGCCTCGCCGACGGGTCGGCAGGAGCGCTGCGTGGGGGAAGCGCGCGTGGCCCTCGCGAGACTTCTATATAAGTCTGTGGCAGACTCTGCTCTCTGGCGGTCTGGCGCAAAGGTTAATGAAAAAAGAACCACCAGAAGAACGCGGACCTCGCGCCATTCGCAACTGAACCGTTCACCTCGCCCTCCGTCCTGAGCGTCATAGACTGGACAGACATGCCCTCTCGGAGAGGGGGGCTAGAGAAGGGGGCCACATCCACGGCCACAAGCACCATCTCGAGCCTGGTCACGCTGCCTTCCGCGCCCCCTCCCAGTCCCGGATCATCCGGCGCAGCATGTTGGGGGTGAGGTATGGGTGGTTGGGGGTGAGGTATGGGTGATCGAGCTCGCCGCCGGTCAGCGGGCTCGTCGACTTGGTCGCGAGCCAGCGCTCGATCGCCGTCCGCTCATACGACTGCCCATCGGCCGCCATCACCGGGTCGCTCATGACCTCGGTCGTGATTGGGCAGATGAAGTCGGCCGGCGGCTCCTCTTCTCCCTCAGGCGGCGCCTCCTCCGCCGGTGACGAAGCGCCCTGCCGCTCGGCGACTCGCGCCTGCCCCCCGCCGCACGCGTCGCCCCGACATCCAGCCTCGCGCTCTCCTCGAGCGCCGCCGCCAACTCCGCCTCCTCTCCCGCCGCCAGCGCTGCCTCATCCTCGGGCTCCCGCGACGGCCCAGCGCCGCCTCCGCCGCCCGTCCCCTTCTTCTTCTTCTTCTTGCCCTTCTTGCTCTCCTTGGCGCGTGATTTTATGAACAACAACAACATACCGTCACCAGAAGGGGCTACAAGCACTTTCAAACTTCATGCACTTCTTCACACTTCAGTCTTGATATCTAGTTTACTCAGTAAGAGCAGGTGGCTACACTTGTGTGTTTGAGGTCTGGACTGCCCTGTCTGTTTGACGGCTAGTTGGATGAGGAGGGGGAAATCGGCTACCGAGCCCTCGGTCTACTCTCAGTCTGATCACTGTCTGAGCAGTGGCCTGAGGCCCGGCCGCGACTCTACACGGGGAGTGACAAGAGGTCCTCACGGACAGAGGTCCTCACGGACAGAGGTCCTCACGGACAGAGAGGTCCTCACGGAACAGTCAGGCCTGATCGGGGGCGAGTCCCTTGCGCCCTGGCCGCAGCTCACGCCAAGGTAAGCTAGGCCAGCGCCGCCATGAAGGGGCCACCCTCGGGTAAAAGAAGATAAGAAGTAACACAGAGCCAGAGACCGTCTTGCACCGCATTCACATACGTTGAGAACATGTGCGTTTGAGGAGAGATGGCAATTGACATCTCACCATAGAGAGATGCAGGTCGGTCCTATCTAGCAAAGTATCTAATATGGCGTTCCATTTCACAGTGGCACAGCTCGCGTTACACAATCTTGATTTTGGTCATTTGCGCCATTTGTGTCTCTCGGTGCCTTCCATCCAGAGGCAGCCGCGACCCCGCCGAGTGGACGGTGGCACACAGCAGGTGGCGCGGCTCTGCGCGTCCTGGGGAGGTACAAAAGTGTCGCCGCCAAAGGCGACTCGACGCCGCTGAGAGAGATCGGAGATCAAGCTCTGACAGGTCGCACGCCGCTCCTTTGTTTGACGCCGACGTGACTCGCCCGTGCAGATCACATCAGTACACGGTCTCGACACGCTCGGTACGACGCCTGCGACTCGTCTCGGGTCAGGTGGCACGACGCTCATCGCGCCTGCCAGCGCTGCCTTGCAGGTTGCCACGACGAGGTCGAGCAGCTTCTATACGCTCGCCCAGCCTTCCTTCCTTTCCATCCCATTAGGCAGCCTGGGAACGGTGGCGATCAGAGGCTAGGCCTTGAGGGGTGGTGGAACCACATGTCACGGCCACTACCGGAGTAGCCACCTGCCCCCAAAGATGTTGAACCTACCCATCGCCGGCCCAACAATGCAGTGCCTGCGACGCCGTCCTAGCGCCGGGCGGCGCCTATTCTCGACCGCTCCTTTACCAACACCCGGCACGCTGCCGACGTCCAGCGCCGCGTCCGCCTCGCTGCCCAGCGTCGACGCCTCCGTGCTCACCGACGCCGACATTTCGCGCTTCAATCAGGAGAGTGGCACAGCCGCACTGTCACCTGGCGTGACCGGCTCCAATGTCCTCGCCGCTGCTATTAGGACGGCGCCATCGTCCTGCGCGGCACGTTCGCGCCGTGGGTGGAGGCGATGCGCGAAGGCGCCGAGGCGAACCTCTCCGACCCAGGCCCGTCGCTCTGTGGTGGGCTCACCGAGTCCCTTGTCGGAGCCTCGCCTCAGCCGTCTCGGGACGGCTTTCCCCCACAGGCCCGCTCTGCGACGAGCACGCCGCCGCCGCCGGCACCGGAGGACGCTTCCACGACGACCAGTTCCTCTGGCACCGCCACGCCATCTTTGCAGACTTTGTGCTCCGCGCGGGTGAGAGCAGTGTGGCTCGCCGGCGTCTCTGCTCTCACCCTTCCCGCTCGCCCCTTTTTTTTGGCCCCCCCCCCCCCCCCCTCTCCCGCGCCTCCTCTCGCCGCCCCCGTCGCAACCGCGCTCTCACTGTGACAACCGCCGCCGCCCTGCCTCCGCCTTGCTCTGCAGCGCCCCGCCCCACCTCCCGCTCCCACTGCTGCTGCTGCTGCCACCCTCGCCGCCGTCGTCGCCACCTCCGCCCACCGACGCGTCGTTGCCACTCACCTCAGGCGCGGGCGCCATCGCCGCACGTGCAATGGGGTCGCGGACGGCGCAGTCAGAAGCTCGGCCAGTCGTTGGTGAGAGGCCGTCTCGTCACGGCTGCTGCAGCCCTGTGGACAGGCAAAATGCGCTCGAGGTGCAGGCCAAAGGGGGTGTGGACGGCGTCTCTTCACAGCCATGTCGCTGTGGACAGGCGCACATCCTCTACGACCAGCTCTTCGTCAAGGAGCCGGGCACCGCGGCGCCGACCCCACGGCACAACGACACGTCCTACCGGCACAAGACCCGTCCTAGACCTGTCCTGGAACCCTTTTGCAGGCGCCGACCCCGTGGCACAACGACACGTCCTACTGGCATTTGCGCGGGAAGCAGGCGCCTGCCAAATGGTCTTAGTAGTCCCTTCATTCTGATCTCATGATACGGAGGAGAGCACCAGCATACGGATGGGAAGCAGGCGCCCGTCGCCAGCTTAGCGGGGGGTGACCGCTGCAGCAGAGCCACAGTCACTTGCTTCGGGGGCGGCAGGCTCCGGTCGGTCTGGCCGTGCTATGCTGGCTATATGGTGTGACAGGATAGCACATGCACACTCCACATGGCATGTGCTTGCTCCTGCCGCTGTCGTGTGATGCGATGTGACGGCATGTGTCACACACCACCCACCCCTGCCCTCGCCACACTGCCCAGCTGTGAATAACTGCCCGCTCGCGAGGTCTCGGAGAAACTTAGCACCTACGTGTATGTCACACACTGCAGGTCTGCTCGGTCTGGCTCGCCCATATCTCCCCAGATCTCCCCAGATCTCCCCATATCTCCCCATATCTCCCCATATCTCCCCATATCTCCCCATATCTGCAGGTCTGCTCGGTCTGGCTCGCCCTCGACGAAGTGCCGAGGGAGAGAGAGGGGCGCGCGGCTGTGAAGAGCGTCTGTTCACGCGCCTCCGGCTGTGAGCAGGTGCCGAGGGAGAGAGGTGAGTGCCGACACACGGACAGACACGACGTGATCTCCCATGAGCTCTGATGCGCTCGTGTGCGCTCAGAGCTCAGTCTACGATGACAGGCAGCGTGCAGGACGCTCTTGGAGCTGTCTCGGGTCGGAGCATGTCTGTAGGCCTCGCGTATGTCAAAGGCCCGCGCACTCGGGGCGGCGGCATGGTGCAGTCTTGGGTAGGGTATCGCTGATGAGCAGTGTGCATTGCAGGCTCGCCTCTAGTGGGTGCTCGGCTCCATTCTTGCTGCTAGTGCTCTCACTTTATGACATCGGTGCTGTGGTGCATGACAGGCTCGCACACTTGGGGCCTGACGCACCGCATCACAAACTTCTCCGGCTCGGACGAGGTCAGAGACGCTTCCGGGACACTTCTGAGACACTTCCGAGACACTTCTGAGACACTTCCGAGACACTTCTGAGACACTTCCTGGCCGAGATGTAGCCGAGATACTGCCGAGATAACTTGAGATACTGCCGAGATAATGCAGATACCTCCGCCCCCCTTGCAGGTGGACTCGCGCAACGTGTACCACGGCGCAGAAGGCTACCCGCCCGTGCCGGACATCGACGCGGGCGTCGCCAGCGGCCAGTACGAGCTGCTCGGCTGGGACATGGTGCCGAGAATGGCCGCCGAGATACGCCGAGCCTCGCCAAGAGTACTCGCCAAGAGTGGCTCCACCGCCCCGTTCGAACCCTCCGAACCCTGCGAACCTCCTCCAAACCTCCTCCAACCCCCCTCCACCCCTCCTCCAAACCCTCTCCAAACCCTCTCCCGAAGCTTGTCCGATCCTCCCTGCAGGCGCCGGGCGACGTGCTCCTCTTCTACTCTGCGATGATGCACGGCGCCCCAGGCGAGCCGAGACACAGCCGAGAGGCAGCCGAGTGGCAGCCGAGAGGCAGCCGAGATTACTCGAGATTCTCCCACGCCGCGATGGCGCAGGGGATGTGCCGTGGGGCTCCTGCCTGTCAGGATGCGGAGATGCGAGGGCTGCGCTGGACCCCTGCCCTACCACCGCGCGTGCGTGTGGAGAAGTGTGCCTGACCTTGCCTGCTCGGAGCCCGCAGGCAACCCGGCCAGCTCGACGCGCCGCAGGCGTGGCTACGCGACGCGCTGGTGCGGCGACGCAGTCTTGCCTGACGTCTGGTCTGGCTCCCTGCGAGAAGTGACTGGCCGCCCATGTCGGTGTCAGGTGCGGCGACGACATACTCTTTGACGAGCGGCCCGGCACGATGCACCGGGCGTGGAAGGAGGCGGGCGGCCGCCCTGCTTGCCAAAGGAGGAGGGGGGGGGGGGGGGCGTGACACGGTTGTCTCACCAGCGTGGCGTGTGACTGCAACCAGGCGGGGTTCGACTGCGGCCTGGCGGCGGGAGAGCACATTGGCTGCTCGCTGCACCCAGACGTGCTGCACCCCTCGGGCAATCTCGAGTAATATCGGACAATCTCGCTGCATCCAGACGTGTTGCGCGCGCGAGGGGTGGGGGTGGGGGTGGGCAGCTGCCTGGGTCAGGGCCCGCGGGAATGAGGAACAGAGACGCGCAACATTGGCGAAGTTCTCTCTTCCGAGTGAGCCCTGAGGGAGAGGTATTTTAGCGCAGTTGATTAGCAGTCACGTGTTGTATAGTTGTCTCCTTTGTCGAATGTGCCTTTTCAGCTAAAGCCCGCGTAGAGAGTATCTAGATAGAAGATATACGTACGCCCCGCGCGCTTTATCCGATTTTCCCCGCTCTCTCAACAAAATGCGCCACACAAGCACAACCCCGAGCCCAAGACGCACACGCACAGACAGTTGAGAAGGGAGAGACAGCACGCAAAAAGACTCAATCGAGCCTTTGCGCGCGTCCCGGAACGCGAGTTGACTCGTGTGCAGCCGTGCTGCCAGCGTGTTGCGTGGCGTCCACATCCCGTCGGACCCGCGCGGGGGTCAGGCTATCGACGGGCGGCCACGCAAGAAAAAGGAGGACACGTCGGCATTGCGGTGGACGGGTGCGCTCGCCAGCTGCGCCTGCACTTCGGCGAGGGCGTCAGGCTTGATCTTCCACAGACTGAGCGCTCCCCGGTGGGGAACAGGCCGCCTCAGCGCGCAATAGGCGTCAATCACATTGCATATCGGGCCGGTGGCCCAATGATCCTCGGCGCAGTCGGAGTGCTTGAGGCCGCCACAGAAGTGGACAGCGCCAACGATGACGCCGTGCGGAAGCGAGCACTCATCAGGGAGGCAGGCGCCGCCCATCCGCGCGTGAATCCGCTTCGCGTCCTCGGCCGCCAACTTTCCGACGCCAGTGTGTAGCGCGTACCAACCTGGCTTGATACGAAAGGGCCGGTTCTCCACCCGCTTCTGACCGTTGAGGATGCAGTGATTGTACAGCGCGCCCTTGAGCGTCAGCCCCCTGGTCAGCGCACTTGCTTCTGAGGCCACGGCAGGTGCGGCGTTGGCGACAAAGGCTTCGGCCTCGGTGGCCGTGTCGTCACGTTTGCGCTTGCACATGGACCTGCTCGCTCGAGCGCAGCTCTCGATTCTCCCTTGCTATAGTTCGCGGCTGGCGGCCCGCGCGCGTTTCAGATAAGAAGAAGATTTAACCTCCCCCCCCCCCCCCGCTATGAGATAATCCGAGCGGCCGCCGTAAATAAAAGCGCGCTCAGGACGGCGGGTCGCGGCAAAAGACTTGGCTGGGCCGCCCATATGCCGGCCGGGCCGGCTCGCTAGGCGTATGCGTCTCTGGTACTGCGGCAGCGCGGCGGCCAACTCGTACTTTCACATCTCCGACTCCAACCCCCTCATCACCACGCATTGCTACACCACTTCCTCCTCTGGGCGAAAGGAGCTCGAAGAGTCGGGCGTCACCGTCTTTGACTCCGAGGAGAGCTGCGCATGCCTCCCGACGCCGCCGGCGCCGCCGCCGCAGCCGGCGAGGCCGCCGCCGCCGCCGCAAAAGATCTTCTTCTGCGGCCGGCCAGGCGCGCACCCTCCCCCAGTTGCACCAGATGTAGAGAGAGGCGTCTCGCACGTGCATGGGCACCCGCGGCTGCCGCAGCCTGGGCCGGCATCCGGATGACTTCCCAAGCTGCACCCATCCGTGCCTCCCCCCTTGCAGAGATCTGGCCCCTCTTTGAGGACGAGCAGCTGCTCACCAACACGTGCTACGCCTCGACCAAGCTGCAAAAGGAGCAGGTCATGCGGCTCGGCGTCAATGTGTAACGACTTGACAAAGGACGCAGAGAGGAACCAGAAAGAGCACGAGCTGGCCGAATCGCTGTCAACCGGCGTTGGAATCGAATGGACTTCTATGGACGCCGGGAGAGAGTTAGCGGAGCGTTCCACCTGCATAGCACGTCTGCGCAAGGGACACGCCCTCCGAAACGATTCGGACTGCGCAAGGGACACGCCCTCCGCCTCTCTCGGGTTTCTGCAAGGACGCACGGTTCCTGACGGAGTCCTAAATTAGTAGAGCAGTCATCTCCAGATGGGCGACGCACGAAGGCCGAGCATTCTTTTCCCGGGCACAGCCTTTCGGTTCGTGAAGGGTCGGTGCGTGTCGTGACCCCCTGGAACACCCGTACCCCCGCACCATCTCCGTTGCTCTCGGTTGCTTAACCTTGCCACCACCGGGAGCGGCCAGGGCTTCATAGACTCGGTCGAGAGACCCCAGATTGGCATCCATGCCTCTCTGGACAGGGTGGCCCGCCACAAGGACCCCAGGAATTGCGACTCGCCGCTTTCCTCCCGCTGTGATCTTGTGTGAGCTCTGTGTCTTGATTGAGCAAAAAACCTCACTGCGGACCAGCTCTCAAGAAGAATTCTTAAAATACAAGCCTCTCTCACACACAGCACACTGGCACGACAAGGGCGCGGACTGGCGCGGACTGGCACACACACCGGTAGGTAGGTAGGTAGGTAGAAAGGTGAAGAACAGACACCGGCTCACCACCGGAGCGTGCGTGTGTGAGTGTGTGTGTGTAGGCGCCAGGTAGGTAGGTAGAAAGGTGAAGAACAGCCAGGCTCGGACTGGACACCAACGCGGTATGGGTGGACGCAGGACAGATGATGACGACACGCACGATCGACACACAGACACAAACAAGCTCACAAGACACACAGGCGTGTGTGAGTGAGTATTCTTGATACGAAACCACGACGACACACACCAGTCGACTCGCATCGGTTGCCTCCATGAACGGCGGAGCTATTCTCGCGCCCACACCACACCTGGCTCAAAACGTGGACACGCCCATAGCTGGGGACACTACTAGGTCACGCATGGCATCACAGAAGTTTTGTCTCTGGGCCCCGAAAGGCATCTCTAGCAGTGTCGTTACGCATGCCCCCTCCCATCCTGGGCGCATGCGCCTCACGTCTCGCCAGAGCATAAGCCCTTGGCGTGTGGCGAGACGAGTTTTTCGCCATGCAGCGAGCAGCAAGCCGCCCGACACACACACACACAGGTAGGTAGGTAGGTAGAAAGGTGAAGAACAGCCAGGCTCGGACTGGACACCAACGCGGTATGGGTGGACGCTGGACAGATGATGACGACACGCACGAGCGACACACAGACACAAACAAGCTCACAAGACACACAGCCAGCGGGCTGCCACACACCCTGAGTCGGCGTACACATAACTCAAGGCCATATCCTCCCTGTCGCCCCCCCCAGCACTCCACGGTGCCAAGAGAAACAAACAAGGGCACAACGACATAACAGACGACAGGAAGTGACATGCGAGGCTAGAGCAGGCTTGCTCTACCTCCAGCAATCTCTCCGGCCGGCGAGGCACGGACGAGACCGTGTGTGGGGTCTAAGTGAGGTGTCTATGGACGCTCTCCTCACGGGCTAGCTGCCTGCGGCTAGCCCTAATCTCGCACTCACGGACAGTGACAATCAAATGGGTGAGTGTTTGCGAGCAGAGGCGCGTGGGCTAAATCTAGGCCGCACGTCGTGGCACTATGACGAAGTAGACGTGCGGCCGCAGCGCGCCCGCCGCAGGCTCGGCGGTGCGCGCGTGTTAGCGACAAAGTTGCGGGTGGAGCCATGCCCGACTTTTCGAAGGTGAGGCCTCTGCGACGAGTGCCAGCCGCGCTGCGGAGCCACGCCCTTCGAGCCGCGTCCCGTCGGCACTGTCCCCGAGTGGTCCCGCCTTGGCGGCACACACACACACACACACAGGCGCCGCAAGAAGAAAGAAGAAAACCATCGCTCGCCATCCACTTCGCCGCGGCCGGGCTGTGTGCTACTAACCCCACCATTCCAACCCCCACCATCCCGGCCAGCCCTCTCCGCTCACACGACTGCATCCCATGGGCTCGCAGGCTCTCGCCGTCCGCCACGTTACGGCCGTATGTCGGAGATCGACCTGATCAGCAGCCTGCTCGACAAGGTTGCCAAGAAGCAGCGGGTCGACACCGTTCCCCAGCGCCTGGACGAGATGCTCCAGATCCTCGACTCCTGGGAAGACTCGGGCACTGACGACGACTCTCGCGCTGCGGCGCTCGCCTCACTCGGCAGCAAGCTCGAGGCGGTTGGCGTGGCGCAAGGAGAGAGCTCGACGGCGCGCGAGCTCGAGTCGTCGGTGCGCAAGCTGGGCAAGGCCGTGTGCAAGGCCATGCCCCAGCCCACGCTGCCGGACGTGCCGCTCGACGACGGCGCGCTGGTCCAGGTGCTCTACGTGCACATGCTCTGCGCCGGACGGTTCGACGTGGCGCTCGCCCTCGAGCGGGAAGCCGCCGACGCGATCGCGGCGCCGACGCTGCAGCTGCGTGCGCCGCTCGAGGCGCTGCACGCCGCCCTCTCCGCCTTGCGCGCTCGCGATCTCTCGCCGGCGCTGGCATGGGCGGCGGACCACCGAGAGCGGCTCGAGGCTCTCGGGTCGCGGCTGCCGTTCCTGCTCGCGCGACTCGCCTTTGTGTCACATCTCGAGAAAGGCGAGACGCTGGCCGCCCTCGCGCTCGCTCGGGAGCGGTTGCTCCCGCTCGCGCTCGGTGAGGGCTGCCGCTCCCCCCGGGGCAAGATCGAGCTGTCGGCGACGGTGCTGCGCGGTGCGGCGGCGGGCGAGTGCGCGCACGGGATCGCAGCTGTGCGGTCTCTGATGGGCTCGCTCGCATTCGCGCCGGCGCTGCGCGGCTCGCGGTATGAGTGGCTGCTCGAGCCCAGCCTGGCGGAGGAGGCTTGTGAGGCGCTCACGTGCGAGGCGCTCGCGGCGCTCGGTTTGCTCGACGAGCCGCCGGAGACGCCTGAAAGCGAAATCTCGGGCGGGCGAGGGCCTTTTCTTTTGTCTAGGCCTGCCGCGCGGGTCTGCCCTCAGCTCCTGCGTGGCGGCGGGGGAGGCGGTGCTGCCTCGGCTGGTCAAGCTCTCCTCCCTCCTCGGCCCCAAGTTTGTCGACGTGTGGCGGTCCGGCAGATAGATAGATACTGAGGCGAAGAGAAGAGCAGACAGCGGCTCGGACTGGGCACATGCGCGGTGTGGGTGGGGACGCGGGACAGGAGAGGACGGCACGCTGGAGGGACACACAGACTCACAGACTCACAACCGACACTCAGCTAGCTTGGCTGCCAGGTCGGGCGGCGAGCTCCCGGTTGAGCTCGAGCTGCCCCCGACGCACCGCATGCACCACTCCATCTTTGCGTGCCCCGTCTCCAAGGAGCCGACCACGCCGGGAAACCCGCCCATGCTGCTGCCGTGCGGCCACGTGCTCGCGCTCGGCTCGCTGACGAAACTCGCGCGCGGAAGCCGCACCGTCCGGTTCAAGTGCCCGTACTGCCCGGCCGAGGCCACCACCGCGATGGCCAAGGTGCTGCACCTTTAGCGACTTCTCCGAAGCCTCCTCCGCAGGCTGGCAGCCGTAGCGCAGATAGACGATCCTGTGGAGACCACTTGTGCGTCCAGCCGCCCCATTCGGCTCGGCCTTCGGCCTCGCGCGTTCGGGTGCACCCTGTCCGGAGTCGACGTTGAGCTTGAGGCTAAGAGACATGACACAAACACAAGTCTTGTGTTTGTGTGCAGTTTTGGGGGGTACTCAGAGCAATCCGGCGGGGGCATTTTCTAGCGCAACCAAACAAAGGATACAGGGAGAGAGAGATCGCCTCACATCGCGCCTCTTCCCAAGATTGTTCGGAGCCTAGAGCCTTGGGCCAGGTACCAATTTTGTCGAATTTATTTCAAAATCTGCAGGCGCGGAGCGCCTGCGAAAATTTTGAAGAAATTTGCAGTCGGGCCTGATTTTCATCAAGAACAAGATCTTTCAAATTTGCGGTGTGGAGTTGGGGGGTGGGTTAGGTTATAGGGTTATTAGGGTTAGAGGGCTAGGGTTAGGGTTAGGGTTAGGGTTAGGGTCAGGGTTAGTCTTGTTGTGTTTGTATATGCCAGCGTTGCAGAGTTCTGCGCTGGGATCTGGCCCCAGCGCCGACGAGTAAGACTCAGCACCGCACGCTGACCCCACCAAATGCCGCCTCAGGGCGCCAGCCACCTCTTACACGCGGCCGGCGCCCTCTGACTCGCGGCAAAAGGGTCGAGCGAGCGGGCAGAGTCGCGATGTCTGCGCACCCGCGTGCCGATGGGCGGCGCACGCAGCCGAGAGAGGCCCTGTCGCGCCGCCAGTAGCGTTCCGCACTCCCCACGCCACCATTTGCCGCCTCAGGGCGCCAGCCACCTCTTACACGCGGCCGGCGCCCTCTCGCGGCAAAAGGGTCGAGCGAGCGGGCAGAGTCGCGATGTCTGCGCACCCGCGTGCCGATGGGCGGCACACGCAACCGAGAGAGGCCCTGTCGCGCCGCCAGTAGCGTTCTCCTCACTCCCCACGCCACCATTTGCCGCCTCAGGGCGCCAGCCACCTCTTACACGCGGCCGGCGCCCTCTCGCGGCAAAAGGGTCGAGCGAGCGGGAGAGTCGCGATGTCTGCGCACCCGCGTGCCGATGGGCGGCACACGCAACCGAGAGAGGCCCTGTCACGCCGCCAGTAGCGTTCATCACCCCCCACGCCACCAATTGCCGCCTCAGGGCGCCAGCCACCTCTTACACGCGGCCGGCGCCCTCTCGCGGCAAAAGGGTCGAGCGAGCGGGCAGAGAGTCGCGATGTCCCTGCGCACCTGGGTGTTCGCCGCCTATATGCTCTATCCTGTGCCAAGACGGACACGTTTTGACAATCAAAATCTACCTCAAAATTTGCGGCCGCCCCTCGAAATTTGCTGATCAAAATTTGCGGTGGCCCGGATCGAAACCTGTACTTTGGCCAATCGGAGCCATGGCAACCACTCATCGAGCGTGCTGTCGCTCCCATAGCCATACACCAAGGGTGCTCCTTGGAGCCCTTGGGAGTGACGAGGTGGCCGATGAGGCTGCGAGGCATGTGGTTCACGCCCTCGAGCACGAGCTTATCACCAATGTGGGACCAGTCAGTGCGGCATCGCGCCATCGACAGCTCTGAACTGCGCCTCACCACTGACCGGGAAAGCCGCCAAGTGGGCCAGCACCGGTCGCACATTGTGGCAGCAGTCAGCAGCGCATGGATGTCTGATAGCTAGAGCAGCAGCGTCAGGGTCGCAGGGTCGGATCGTGTCAAGCCTCTCGCCCGGCCGGCCGCGTGCAGACATCGGCCTGTCTGCTGTTTGGAGTGATCTGTCGGCGGTCAGTACGACCGATCAGGTTGGAGTTTTCTGATGATTGGAGGGGCTATCTGTATGTACTCCTCGAGATCTCTCCAAATCTGCCCTCTGATCAACCGTGATCATTCGGGAAGTTGGTGCTAACGGAGACTAACGGAGCCGGAGCCCCGTTTCCGCACTGCTGCGCGCCGGCGCACGGTGCCATGGGTGACTCGCTGCGCCGCGAGAATGGAGGCTGGCCACCGCACGTCCATTATCAGCTCTCGATGCGCCGCCCGAGGACACACGACCTTCCGGGCGTTGTGTCCTTCGACGCGGGCGCAGGACGCCTTTCCCGACCCGCGGCTCGTGCTCGGCCCGCTGTACAGCGGGGGTTGCGCGGGCGTGTGACGGCGAGGGCGACTGCGAGGGCGACTCACTACCTCTGGTAAAGCCGTAGCACGGTACGAGTGTAGAGGGTGTTAAACGAAAGGGCTGTCGATAAACGTCCCTCGATTGCAATAATAACCACGTTCGAGTGTGGCTGTCTAGGCCGACTCTGGTCTCTGCCGGGACCGTGAGAGGCGCCGCGGCGAGGCTCGAGCCTTTAGGAATTTTGAGTTTCAGAATCGTTACGAGCCCGGCCAGGAGGCCTCTACCTGGCCTCTACGGGACCCCACTACATATGCGCACGCGCGGTCCGCTTAGACGTAGCAGCCGTTTTTCGGCAGCCCCAGGCCAGCAGTCATCAGAGCGCAGAAGGCACGCCAAGCCAAGTGGCTCGGGTCGGCCCAACAGCGAAAGCGTGTGAGCACCTCCACACCCCATGTCTCGATTTCTGAGACCTCTACGCCGCAAGCGCCTTATGCAGCGCATAGTACTCCTTGGGCTGCAAGTAAAAGTCGCCGCCCTTTCCGTCGTACTCCATGAAAAGCGCAGTGAGCTTCTTGAGCGGCCCCTCACCGAAATCATTCGCGACGGCCTTCTTGGCTTCAGGCAGTGAGACCTTGCCGTCGCCACTGCGGTCGGCCTTCGTAAAGGACGCGAAGGTGCGCATGAGCGACGAGAATTCGACCAGCGAGAGATAAAAGTCTTTCGTCTCGTCTGCCGCGAGGAAGAACTCGGCGACCGTGTTTGCGCGCCTTGGAAAGCGCGCGACGAGCAGCTTCTTGGCCTCCGGCATCGAGACCTTGCCATCGCCGCTCTTGTCAGCGTCCGCATACGCGGCGACCGATTGCCGCAACCCGACGAGCTCCGGCAAGGAGAGGTAAAAATCGCCGTCTGCATCGGACGTCAAGAAGAAGGTGGTCGGGATCGTCACCGCGGCGAACTCGGCTGCGAGGGCCGCTTTCGCCTCCATCGCGCTCACCTTGCCGTCGGCGCTCGTGTCGACCGCAGCAAACGAGGCGAGGCATCCGTGCACCGCCTCGTACTCCTCCCGGTCGAGATAGAAGCTGCCGTCGTCGTCCGACGCCAGGAAGGCCTTGGCGACATACTTACCGAGCTTTGGGAAGGCTGCCTCGAGCGCCTTCTTCGCCTCGGGCATCGAGACCTTACCGTCTCCTGACTTGTCGACAGTCGCGAAGGCATCCTTTGCAGCCGCCGCCCTGGTGTCCTTGGTATCCGCATCCGGAGGCCCAGCCTGCTCCGGAGCTCCAGCCTGCTTCTGCGCGGCCGTGCGTCCGGCTTGCTCGACGAGCAGCCCATCGTCGAGGGTCGAGCAAACACTGGATTGGCCAAGCAAAAAAGAAAAAGTAGAATCGAATAATGCGCTCTCAAAAATCACAGAAAATTTACAAGCGCTCGCGGAGCCGAGCCACGCGTCACGCAGCAGCCCTGAGGTGCTCACGCCTTGATGTCGTATCCTTCATACGAGCAACCCTCTTGCGAGACGTCGAGCATGTTGGCCACCGAGATGCCGAGAGAGAGGAGCTCTGCCTTCATCTCCTCGACGAGGCTGGCGGGCGGGGTCGGCTCGCGCGTGAGGATCCACAGCCCCTCGTTGCCGCCGACGCCGTCAAAGTCAGCTGCGTCCACCTGCGGCAGCGAGCAGCCGCCGTCGCCCTGCGGCACCGTCGGCTGGCCGCCGATGACCGCAGCCGCCGTGTACCGTCCCTGCTCGTCTGCCTTGAGGATCACGGGCCAGTACGGCCCCGCGAGGCCGTTCCGGAGGAAGCACGGCGCGACGGCAAGCTTGTTCGTCGGCGGGTCAATCAGGCCGCGCGGGGTTGACCGGGGAAGGGGCACCGTTCGGCATCGTCAGTGGGTTGGCGATCGCCGCCCCCTGGTTCGCCTGGTTGTACACGGACATGACGAGGCCGTCCCAGGAGGGCCCACCAGTCACGTGAGTTAGACCCCAACTGACTCCAGCTACCTTCCCAGGCTCCGTTAGTGCCACCTCCACCAAGAACGCCCGCCGGCGGAGCGCCACCCGTCGCGCCCTCGAGCGATCCCGGCCCCGTCTCGCTCAGCTTGCTCGGCTTGTATGATGTAACATACTTCCGGGCCGGTGTGCGGGGAGCGAACTTTAACGACCGCCCAGAAGCTTTCTGAGCGAACCAATCGGGCCAGGATCATCAGCATATGTCCCCTCCACAACATCGTGTCAAGGCCGCCTTGAAGTTAAAGAAATACGTACCTTCAACAAGACGAAGAGGGGAACAAGCAGGGGGAGCAACTCGCCTTGTCCGTGCTGCCCAAGCTCGCGCTCGCGTGGACGCGAGCCATACGGCATGAGGGCCTGGTGGCTCCTCGCCTTCGCCCGCTTCGCCGGTGCCGCGCCTGACCTCGTCTTCCAGGACCGGCGCAGCATCGGCACCGCGGATCGGCGCGCTTTCCCGCTGTTTGCTCTTGCGCTGCTCTCCACCGGGGCGGCTGCTGTTCCGGTCCTCCGCGGTGCAGGTGGCGACAAGGCCGATCGCGGTGGAGTTGACGACCAGAAGCCCGCTCGCGGGACAACGTTCGCACCCTATCCAGGGCTGCTTCCCGCTCCGCCTCCTCCCGCACCCACCGACGAACGGCTGCTCGAGCTCGAGGCGGCGAATGCGGAGCTACAAACGGCGAATGCGGAGCTGCAAGCGCGAGTAGCTGCACTGGAGGCACAAGTGCAGCGCGCGGTGGATGCTGTGCGCGTCGCAGTGTCGTCGGGCCCCCCGCTGTTCATGTCGGTGTCTGCTGCTGCACAGGCGGAGGTAGAGTCGGAAGGAGAGTCCGATGATGATGCCGACGACTGTGCATCGTCAAATCGTCCTTCATGCTGGGACTCCGTCGCGATCAACGATCTGAACAGCATGGGCAATGAGATTCGTTTTCTTCCCAACGACTTTGGCCCAAAGCGCGACAAAGAGGGCACAATCGTGCGTGACGCTGATGGAGAGCCAGTTCGACATGCATACCCCAAAATGGCTGCTGGCAGCTATGCCGTGCTGGGCAGCATCGGGATGGTTGTCCAACTCGTCCACGCTGGACCAAATCACGATGGCACCCTGAGCGACGACTGGGCCGGCATCGTTGTCAAAGGCGCAAAGTCGATGGTCCCTTTGCTGGGCTTGATCAACCCTGCGCTCGGCCTTGGCGTCGGAATACTCTTGTCCCTCTTCACCCCCAGCAAGTCGGGCGCACGCGCCGCCGAAATGCTAAAACTCTACAACCAGATCATGTGCCACCTCCGCCCGCCGCCGCCCCCGCGCCGCCTCTGCCGACCGCACTCGCCGAGCGACGCACCCCCCACCCTTCTGGTCCCGCGCGGCGCAGGGACGAGGTGCAGGTCATGATCGACGACGCGCTAGTGCAGGAGAACCTGGCGGGCGCATCAGTCGCGATGGTCTCGTGTCTTTGGACGTGGTACCAGAACCCGTGGTACATCACCAATGCCCCAGACACGAACGGCACGGCGAGCGAGGGTTTGACTTCGGGCGACTATTACACTTGGTTTATGGAGCGGACGAGCGACTTTGATCAGAACGTGCGCAACATCTTCAGTGCCGACTGTCTGAACTCGCAGTTACAACCAGAGTTCCCCCCAAATGACGTTTGCAAGGGATTCTCCGCGGTGCACTGCTCGTGTGCCCATGTTGCCATGAGCACAGTGCCCAACCACGCCAGCGCACTCAACCCCGCCCCCCCCCCCCCCCCCCCGAGCAGGCGGGGAAGCTGCTTCAGCAGGTCCAGTTTGCACAGGCCCACATGCTTACGTTCCAGGCAGCGGCACAGGTTGCACCAAACGCCATCTTGGCGCAGCAGCAGGCGCGGAACTCCTATGCAATGCAGCAGTTCTACGCCAAACTGCTCGCCGCCTCCCTGACCAACTGGCTGACCTATGCCGACAAACTAACATGCAACTACGACTATCCTGACAATTGGGGCAAGTATCAGGGTTTCTCCTGGGACGACGATCAGTCGAAATGCGAGCAGTGCTTCGCCGACCTCACGGATGCCGCTTCTTCAACGTACCGGTATACGGGAAAGACGGTGACGCAGACAACGGGCTGCACGAGCAGCTGCTTTGGCATGACACTGCACGAGCAGCCCTCAGACATTTGCGAGGGCACGTGCGATCAAGAAGACTACCGTGGGCAAATCCGAAGTGGCCGCCGCGTTGGAGATGGTCGCGCGTGCGACAACTCCGACTTTGAAAAGGTTACCGGCGGCTGGATGGCGGTGGCAAAGCCTGAGCTTTTGCCGCTCGTCCGCGCCTTCCAGGTCGCGTTCACCTCGGCAGAGGAGGCGAGTGGCAGGGCATGCGCGTGCTCCCCTGCGCTTTATGGTCTGTATGAAGAGATGATGAACGCGTCGACGTGCCAGACCATCTGCCGCGCCGACATTCAGTGTGCGGCTTACGAGTGGACACTTGTGGGCGAGCCAGAAGCAGACCACGGGGCAATGGTTCTCAACTACTCCTCGCCCATCAACGGCACGTGCAGGCTCTACGACTACAGCTGCGGCTCGGCGCCCGCGCCGGACCCGTCGTCTGTTCCTCCGCCGGTCGACGAAATGGGCTACGATTACAGCTACGATTACAGAGACTGGTACTACTCTTGCGATGGCGATCTTCCGTGGTACTCTTGCGTGGATCCAGCTGAGTGGAGTTCCGAAACGTTACAGCATGCTGTGACTTGCTGCGAGGCGGACGGCATGCCCACTGCTGGCGATATGTGCTGCCTTCAATCCTCGGATGACTTCTCCTCCTGGCTCGGATGCAAATACTTCGGAGGGACGGGTTCCTGGCAAAGCGAGTGTAGGTGCATAGGGGGCTACAAGGTATGCAAGGGAGACGGTTGGAGTCCCGAGGGAGTCCCAGGGAATGGTTGGAAGGCACATTGGTATCTTGCGAAGCCATGCCTCCACGCCTCCCCGACGCCTCCCCCCAAGTGCTCCGGCGAGACGTGCAGCGGAGAGAACGACGAGTGCGATGGCGATCTCGTATGCGGTCGCTATTCCAACAACCCCGATGACCACATCTGCTGCGAGTGCTCGAACGGTCAGTGCGAGCTTGATGGCGTCGCCTGGTGCAAAAACCATGAGGGTGGTGAGTGCAGCGGAAACGACAATAACTGCCAGGACGGCCTTGTGTGCGGCATGAGCGCCGACAGCAGCAGCGGCTACCAGTGTTGCAACTTGCCGGCTGTCAGCAACGAAGACCCGAATGGCGTTGCGTGTCCTCGAGGCCTCGTTGTGAACAACGGACGATGCGTCGCCGTGTGCGAGGACCTCGATAGTGACGCGCGCTTCACCAGCATTGGACTGCAGTACTGCGTGAACGCCACCTCCGAGACCACCTTTGAGCACACCTCTCTGGAGCAGTGCAAGGCCTTCTGCGGCTCTTCATGCAATGCGATTACGTGGGGCACCGACTGCAAAGCCAGCGACTTCACCTGGTCTGGCGGCAGCAAGCCCATCCCTTACTGTGACGACATGGGGGACGCGTCTTGCTGTGTGCAAAAGAGCCCGACGACCACCAGCTGTTCGGCAGCTGGCCTCCTGGACAGCGGCGAATCGATCTGCCCCAACGACAAGACTTGCAACGAACCCTCCCCCATCTGCGCGAAGACCGATTGCAAGAACTACCAGAGCTGCGCCCCGAGCGTCATCTGGCGTACCGACGCCGCGAACTACACGACGTACATGAAGGACCTCTCCTCCTCTATCACCACGCAGGACAACAGCAGTAGCTGCACCTTTGTGCAGTACGAACTGACAATACTGCCGGCCCCGCCACCGCCCCCACAGCCGCCACGCTCTCCGCCCTTGGTGCCACCGCCGCCGCCGCCGCTGTCGTGTACATTTGTAATCACCGCGACGCGGACGGCCGGTAGCATCCTGCAGCTCTCCGAGCTACGGCTCTTCGAGGGGCCCACGCAGCTCACCGTTGCCACGATCAGCGCCCCCGATGGCGACAGCCCTCCCAATGAGGAGATCTCCAACCTGGTCGACGGCGACACAAGCACAAAGTGGCTCGACTTCCGGACCTCGGGCAGCCGCAAGGTCATCTTCACCATCGCCGGCGCACCCTTCATCACTCGCTACCAGCTGTACACCGCCAACGACTACAAAGAACGCGATCCGACGTCGTGGGCGCTCTCCTGTGATGATGGGACGGCGGACAGCGTCTCCTCCTTCTCGCCTCCGGACGAACGGTTCACCTCATACGGGCTTGGCGACATATCCCGGCGGATTTAGTTGCGAAGGGTGCCGAATGCCTTCAGTGGCCACACCCTTCTGAGTTGCGTCCTCTGGCAAGGACTATGTAGCATTGCCGAGGCCTTCTCCGCCTTCGAGGAGACAGTGTCACATTGCCGAGGCCTTCTCCGCCTTCGAGGAGACAGTGTAACATTGCCAAGGCCTTCTCCGCCTTCAAGGAGACAGTGTCACATTGCCAAGGCCTTCTCCGGCGCCTCCGAGGATAGATGACTAGCAACGCGAAGGACGCGGAGCGTTTGCGCTTCACACTGTGGTTGGAGTTCACCGACGCCTCGTCGCGATGTCCTTCCTCCAGCACAAACTCCAGGAGGGAGCGTTCGCGCTTCAAAGTCGTAGTGGCGCTGTGTTCTCTTAGCTTAGGGATGAACGTGTGTGCGCGCCTCTCGCTCATCGGACTTTGCTGCCGCGTAGACGCATTCGGTGCACGGTTCCCATTTGGAGCGGTCGTGTTCGCAACCCCGTCTAGAGTGTAGAGGTAAAGCAAAGTGGCGGCACGCGTGCAGCACTGCCAAATAATAGTACACACCAAGAGCCGCGCGTCAACAGACAACACCACTCGCCTCCGAGTCCCAAGTGAGAGCTATCTAGCTGGACGTTTCAGTACACCCTCGCCTTGTATTTCTTGTCCCGCCTCGGCGGGCGGGGGCGCGCTCTCGGCCGAGCTCTGCAACGAGAGGACCGCCGCGATGGCCGACCACAGCGGCTCGGAGGCGCCGGCGGCTCGGGCGGCTCTGCGGGCGGCGCGGGCTGCGTGCTGCCCGCCGCCTGCTGCCCGGGCAGGCAGCGTGTGAGGCAGGAGAGGAGGGCGGCCGCGTCGGGGCGCTCGGGGGGCGAGAGGCCCATCGCGCGGAGGGTGTCGGCGATGTCGGCAAGCCACCCAAACAGGTCCCGCAGCGGGGCGAGGAGAGGATGCCACACGTTTCGACGACAGCGCGCAGCAGCGGCCGCATGCGCGAGACATCCGAGGTATCGACGTTGGTTTGAGGCCCCCTTCCCGTATCCGCCTCCTTCTTTGGACTCCCTCGGCCACCGTGGGTAGGGCTATCCTCCTCGGGGTCTCGGCGTCAGGCCCCTTCGGTCCGCCCCCGACCCCGGGCGGCCCCTCGGCTTTGTCCAAGTTAGCCGCCCCCCCGATTCTCCCCTCCTGTCTCTGTCGTTGCTCCCAGAAAGTTTGCTGCTTCTGGAACGGCGTGAGCTGCCCCAAGCCTTCCGGGAGTGGGGGTGAGGCACTCGACGATGACCAGGTCCTCTCCCTGCACCTCCACGGTCAGAACCGTGTCCCCGGTGGCGGCAAGTTGAACAGTCTGCGGCTCGGCCGGTGAGGCTGCGGCCGCGGGAGGCCGGGCCACCGCAGGCGACGGAGCCGAGGCTGCGCGGCTGGATTGCGGCTCGTCCGGCGAGGATGCGGCCGTGGGCGACGCGGCCATGGACGGTGCTGAGCCTGAAGACGGAGCAGCCGTCAACTCCTCGTCGCTGTCTGGAGCCAAGGCGGCGGCGGCGGTGCGGAGGAGAACTGGCATCGAGATGGAATGTGTCGCTCCCGCCGCGGCCGGGCTATCGGCGCGAGAAGAACCGGCGGAAGAGCAGCGGCGGGCGGCGGGAAGGAAGGAGCGGAAGCCGAGGAGCAAGTCGGTGTGGCCGGCGAAGAGGTCTTCGACTCGCTCGATCAGGGCAGAGATGCTTAGAGTTCGCACTTGGTATTGCTTGAGGGCGTCGAGGTACTACAGGGTGGAGACGGCAGGTGGTGATTTGTGGGATTGTGTCTGCTGCGGCCGGCGACATGGTCCTGTGTTTGTGGTGTGCTGGGAGCAGGCGGCGAGTCCTGTGTTTGTGTTCTGGGAGCAGGCGGCGAGTGTTTGCGCACCAGACTGAAGACGTAGTCGCCCAGCCGCGCTTGCACTGCGCCGAGGTGGTTCTGCACCACGGCTCGATTCGGTGGCTCGTCGACGCTGTCCGACATCGGCGTGGCCGGAGCGGGCCGGAGAACGCAGACACAAGTCGGTATTCGGAGGGTGGCGGCGTCGCAACTTCACGGCGGATATGTAGGGAGCGCGGCCGCGCGCAACCTTCGTCACAATGCCAACCGCGCGCGGCCGTCGACCGGCAAGCACACGCCTCGACTCGGACACAGTGTTCCGAGGGCAAGGGAGAGGGGCTGGCTCCTAGCCCGAGAGGAGAGCTTCCGAGACCCACTACATGACCACGCACGCATCATCCCGCGGCCTGGCGGTCGGCGGGATTGCAATCAGTCTTCGCGTGCCGCCTGTCGTTCGCTCGGGCGCCTTTGGGCGTCGGGGTGGCGAGCAGGGGACGCGGCTCTGAGCGCCCAGCGACGCGTGCCGGATGGAGTCCGGCCGCGGGTGATTAGGGAACTTCGCTCAGGATGTGTGGCAGTCAGTTTGGCTGAGTGTCTTGTCTTGTGGTTCTGTGTGTCGCTCCTGTGTGACCGTCATCGCCCGTCTAGCGTCCACCCATACCGCGTTGGTGTCCCAGTCGTTGGTCGGACTGTGTTTCGCCTTCCCATCAATCAATCAATCAGCTAGTAAGGTAAGGTAAGGTAAACTTCTCCACACACACGAGGTGGTGGGGCAAGGGGGGGCAACCCTCGCATCTCCACGTCTAACGACAGGAGCCCCACGGCATTTAAAGTGCAAGGCCCGGTGCGCGTGGGTGAGCGGTGTGTGTGTGTGTGTGTGTGTGTGTGTGTGTGTGTGTGTGTGTGTGTGTGTGTGTGTGTGTGTGTGTGTGTGTGTGTGTGTGTGTGTGTGTGTGTGTGTGTGTGTGTGTGTGTGTGTGTGTGTGTGTGTGTGTGTCACGTCTCTGCATCCTCTGCCGGTTCCTCCCGTCGCCTCTCTCTTCTTCTTTGTTCGAATGTTTATATCCTCATCCTTTGACGCATGGGGCCACTCCCGCGAAACTCGTGAACTAGCCGGGGCAGTCGGAGAAGGGGCAACTCCGTGCACTGACGGTCGGCCGCCAGAAAACACGCCTGCGTGGATCGCGTCACACCAATCGTCGCTACCCAACGCGGCGAAAGGATATCCCCCGCACTTGGAGCCAACTTCGTTTTTTCGCCAGTGCGCGCCAGTCCCATGCCCAGTGTTGTGCGAGGGAGTTTTGTTCTAAAATTCGTTTTTTTCCGAATTCCAACGTCACCGCCTTGGTCCGACGTCAGAGGCCCGCCCACAAGGCCAAAGAAGCAGCCGAGATGCCTTCCCTCTCCACGTTTGGCCTCACGACGCTGCTGCTCGGTGGCGCTTTTTCCAAGGAGTGCGTAATCAAAGACGTCGGGAGGAGGCTGCCATGGGCACCGGGCTGGTCGTTCAAGCTCAAGGATTGCACCGTGCTCTCCCTGAGCGACGCTGGCCTTGGTGACTCCGGAGTCAAGGTGCTTGCTACATCACTGGCCGATGCTCCGAGCGTCCTGGAGCTGAGCCTGATTAACAACGGAATCGGCGACGAGGTGCGCCAATGGTCACGGCCACTCACGGCCACTCGACGCCTCACACCGTGCCTCCGCCGGACAGGGCTGCGTCGCCCTCGCCGACGCGCTCTCCTCGCCTGGCTCGGGGCTGGCGACGCTCTACCTCGAGAACAACGCGATCGGAGACCGCGGCGCCATTGCCCTCGGCGCTGCGCTCGAGCGAAACACCGCCCTGGAGACGCTGGGGCTACTCGGCAACGAGCTGACCGGCGCTGGCCGTGCGGCGCTGCAAAAGGCCGGCTTCGCCGGCTCCGGGCTGTCCCTGCCCGGCGCGGAGGACGAGTACCAGCGCCTGGGCAGCAACGGCCCAGCGCGTGTCAGCGCGCAGCAGCAGCAGCGGCAGCAGCAGCAACAGCTTGGCAGGCTGGCGGACAAAGCAGCGGCGGCGGCGGCGCGGCCTCCTCCGCCAGCCCCTCACCCGCCGCCCCAGACCGCCCCTCCGGCGTGCCGCGCGATGTGCGGCCGCGCGACTTGCTTGGAGATGCGGCGCATCGGACAGCACTGTGAGGAGGCTGCCTTGCTCTGCGGAGACGCGTGCGCAGGATGTTGCACCGCCACGTCGCCGCCAGCACCTCCGCCGCTGCCGCCCGCTCTGCCGCCGTGTGTCGACACCGTCGCAGGCTGCTCTCCGCCAAATCACTTCCTAGACACTTCCTAGACACTTCCTAGACACTTCCTAGACACTTCCTAGTGATGTCGCAGGCTGCTCTCCGCCGACAGCCACGCCTTCTGCCCCTTCCTTCCTCCCCCCCCATGAGCGCTCTCAGTGTGGGCTCCTCAGGCTGCTCCGACGACAGCCGCGGCGTGTGTGCCGCCGCGCCCTCTCTTGCCTCCCGCGTCTGCCGCGCGACTTGCGGCGTGTGCGACGGCTACGGCGTGCCGCCCGAGGAGGCGAGGCGTAGCGCCGTGCCCGTCGCGTGCCCGGCTGCGTCTGCCCCACCCAGTCTCCCACGCACACTCGGCGGATTGACACTGCGGGTACCCCCCAGCGGGTACCCCTTCACACCGGTGGACCTCGGGGGGTGGTGAGGAGCCCCGACATCCGTACTGGGGGCCTGCACATATGCCCCCTCCCCCCGCGGTGGAGAGGACTCGCTCAGGCCTACCATACCTCCATAGGATCGAACCCAGTGTGGGTTCGGTCCCGGGGGGAAAATGGTAGCCCCCCCCCCCGACGCCTCAATCCCCTAATGGTTTGGGTCCCAGGGGAAGCCCCCCCCCCCCCCCCCCACCTCGCCCCTCTCACACACACCCGCCACACACACCCGCCACACACACCCGCCACACACACCCGCCACACAAACACCCGCCACCCGCAGGCCGGCGGCGGCTGGTGGCTGCTGCCCGATCAACCAGCCGCCACAGTGCGCGGCTTCGCGGGCGCGGTATCAGCGCGGGCCCTCCTCTCCGCGGCGCTCGTGCTCGTTGCCGCCGCTCTGCCGCTCCTCGTGGCGGCGCGCGTGGCGGCACGGCGTCGCGATGGCGTGGCGAGGCTCGAGAGCTTGCACTGAGGAGGGAAGAGTCGAGAGGGCGGCGGTGGTGGTTCGTCGCTTGCTGCCGGGGGCAAGAGAGTCCTCGCGCCGGCAATCTATGGGGGCGAAGAGGCGCGCGTAGGCCCGAGGCTATCTAGATGGGCGCTCGCTGTCGAGAGAGGAGAGAGTGAGAGAGCGACACAGGAGACGGAGCTTTGAGCAGACCCAGAGGCAGAGAGCTGCACCTGCAGGTGCAGCGCGCTGACCGCTGTGGGTGTGGCAGCTGCGCTCCGCGCGCGCGTGTGTGTATTATTTGGGCGAATACAGAGATTGCTTGATACTCACCCGGACATGCATTACATCATCCCCAATTTCTGCCACTGCGCGTCCACACAAGGTACGTCAGCATAATCCCCATAATAAAGCCGTACGCGAGACGCGCTTTCACCAGCCGACAGCACACAGCACAGTCCCCCGGGAGGCGGACCCCTCTGGTGCGCATCCGCCCGTTCGCGCTCAGCACACCTGCGGTAGGCCTGGCGGTGCAATGTAGGGCTTTCGGCCAAGCCTTCGGTGCGTGGCGGGCCAAGGTGCAAGGTCAAGCCACGCGCCCTCACAGTCAGCTCAGCGAGTACGGATTCTTTCCTGGCGTCCTCGGCGTCGAGCCCCGGTCAGAAATTGGTCTGTCCCACATCGCCACCCAACGCTCCTGACGCACTGCCTTCTCCTCGCACATCCTCGCCTTGCGAACCATCTCGGGGTCCGCAGGAGCCTTTGAGCCGTTCGCTGCGGCAGTCACGGGCGCTGCGGCCCTCCAATTGCTGCACAGCGCGTCCTGACGTGGTTCGCCATACCTCGCCCTGCTGCTCGCCCTGCTGCTCGCCCCCCGAGTCGCCTGCGGCGAGGATCTTCTCTCCGGCAAGCTAGGCAAAGGCTTCTTCTTGCGCAGCATGCCGCCCTCACGCCGCGGCGGCGGTCGCTGCGGTGGTTGGGGCGCTGCCACGGCAGAGGACAGGAAGGCTTGGGCAAGCATGCTGTCGCGACCTTCTTCTTTGCCCGGGCGCTCCAAAGGGCGCTGCCATGCAGGGAGATGCGCCGCCATGAGCGAAGCTTGAATTCCTATTTTGGTGGACTCGCATGGTCCTGGAGAGCGTCTCAAAATAGAATCTTACAACAAAGCTCCCTCGCACAACACTCAAAATAGAACTTCATAGGAATCCTAATCCGAGATCATCCGATGATCGACACGCGACCGAACCCCGAATTTTTATTCTCACAATGCAACACTAGGCGCGGGACTGGCGCGCACTGGCACTAACACAGGTACACCACGGAGAGCCGAAAAAGAACCTTCCCCCGAGCCTACGGATAGTTTGTTTGCTCATACCTGCTTTGGCCGTCATCTAATAAAGGCTCTGTCTCCTCTCTTTTCGTCGGAGGCTGCGGCTTGGCTGATTTTTTAGGGCTCCAGGCCCCAAATGATTTGTGAGCGTGTTATATTTGTTTTTTGAGTTGGTTTGGTATTGCTCTCTCTGATTTTGTGTTTGTTTGCTGTGTGCGAGACAAGTCCCAGACAGACTAATACGTAAGAGCGCCACCTTACCAGCGCCACACGACCAGATCACACACTACACGCACAGTTGCTCGAGACCACACGTCTCTCCCGTCTCCACTGCCTACCCACCCCAAATGTGTCACCCGTGCGAGGCCAGAAGAGAGGCCGCCGTCTCACTTCGGCGCACGCGAGCGAGCGGCTCGCTCGCCTGCGCGTCGCTTACAGCTCAGACGGCCACGGCGACGGCGGCCGAGAAGTGGACGCTGCGCGATGAGCCCGACCTGGCTGCGGAGCGGCTGGATCGCCGCGTGCGGTCGGTCGTCGGCTGGCGCGACGGCGGCGGCGGGAGCTCGGCGGCCACCGCCTCGAAGATTGCCTTGACCTGCGAGTGCAGCATGGCGGGCGTGACAGTGTGCCTCTACATGGATGCTGAGTTGACATGCGAGGCGTTGCTGAGCCTCGTCACTCGGATTGTATGCCCTCGCCCGGTCAGGTGGCGTCTTGCCGAACTGCGCAGAGGAATATGCTCGCGGTGAGAGTGGGAAGCGGAGCGGGGTCGGGCGGCGGCGCAGCTACGCGCCATTGTCTTCTTGTGCACAGCTTCCGGGTAGGCGGAGAGGATCTTTTCGGCGACAGCCACCGAACCGCAAGACTGGGCGGCAGCGTGGGCAGGGAGGTGGCCGTCGCGATCCGGTGTGCGCACCGCCTCGGGATAGGCGTCCAGGATGGCCGCGCAAATCGAGGCAGACGCGCATCCGCTGGCCGCAGCATAGTGCAGCGCATAACGGCCGTCGGCACAGCGTTCAGAACATCGCTCTGCAGAGATTAGCTGCATCACCTTGTCATCGGCGAGCGTATAGGTGGCAGTCCTGTGAAGCGGATTGCACGGGGAGCTCGCGCAGGCTCCCATCGAGAACTCAGAAGAAGGACTTCGGCAAAGGTGCTCGGCGTCGGCGTCGTTCGAGGTGCTTGCCCAAGGTGCGAATCGAGGAGCCCAAGTACACCGAGTTCGTCGCCGACGCTCCTTGGGCGCCGGCTTCTCATAGGATTCCTACACCGAGTTCGTCATTTTTATTTATACCAAAAGGAGGGCTACACGAGGCCCTCTACGCTCACCCATTTGATTGTCACTGTCCGTGAGTGCGAGATTAGGGCTAGCCGCAGGCAGCTAGCCCATGAGGAGGGCGTCCATAGACACCTCATACGAGCGTCATCTTGTAGTGAACAGGCCGACTTCGCGGTTTGAGCGCCCAGCGCAGACCGACCGACCGCAGGGGGGGTCCGGTCGGCGGCCGCGGAAGACCGCAAACCGCAGGGGGGGTCCGGTCGGTCGGAGCGCAGACCGAGGGGGGGGTCGGTCGGGTTGGCTCGAGGGTCACACCGCACACGCTCGCCGCAGCTGTGAATAAATTAGTATCTCGAAATACTAGAGACACCAAGCGACCTCTCCCCGTCTAATCACTCCTCGTGACGTCGTCCGAGTTGCTGAGCTCGAGACCGCGCTCAGGTTTGGGTCGGAACACGAGCTCGTCCATGTCCACGCTCTGGTCGTCGTCGTCGTCCATGATTAGCTTCGCCGGCGACACACTGTACCGTTGACGAGCCGCTTGAGCGCGGCCAGCACCTCCTTCTGCCGGCCGCGCGCCCACGGGGCGGCGGCGATGTGTCGATCCACTCTGGCAAGTCATCGTAGTCATCGGAAGGGACGATGCGCGGTGACTAGTTTTCATACTTAGTGAAATCCGGCGATTTCAAAGCGCCCGTGGCGGTTCGCGAGAAGGAGGGAGAGCGTTTCAGGGGGCTCACGGCAAGGACACCGACCGAGGGGGGGGTCGGTCGTCACACCTCCTGCCGCCGAGAGAGCGACCGACCGGAGGGGGGGTCCGGTCCACCTCGGGGGCAGACCACCGACCGGCGGGGGGGTCCCCACGAAGTAGGGGGGGTGGGTACAAAGTGACGCTCGTATCATTAGACCCCACATACGGTCTCGTCCGTGCCTCGCCGGCCGGAGAGATTGCTAGAGGTGGAGCATGCTGCTCTAGCCTCACATGTCACTTCCTGTCGTCTGTTGTTTGTTGTGCCCTTGTTTGTTTCTCTTGGCACCTTGGAGTGCTAGGGGGGAATGGGCGGTCGGCGATGGGGTATGATGCAACAGGGCGTACGGGGTAGCCGTCACTTTCCTGCCTCGAAAGGGCGGGGCTGTCCCGGAAAGTGAGAGACGCCGGGCAGCGTGGCGCATTACTGAACCCTCCCATACGTGTTTGGGCTCCTCCTTTGCTGTCCCATCTCCTCATCTCTTTCCCGCCTGGGCGGGGCAGCGGGCGGGCGCGCGGTGCGGCGCGGCGTGTGCGTGTGTGCGACTGCAACAGAGGACCGCTTGCAAGGGACCATTGGGCTTGTACTATTAACAACGAAGGCGCTCTCAAAAAAAATAAAGAATAAGAGGAACCACACCGGCACGGCACCCTCGACAGGCTTCATCTGAATTGGAATGCTCGCTCTCGTTCTTCTCCTCGCGCCGACGCACGCGCTTCTGGCAGCGACGCCGGCCCGAGCGGCGCAACCGATCATGCAGGTCACGCCCCCGCCTCGCACGTCGGGAAAGGCGTCCCGGCCGCGCGTCAGCGTCGCAAAGCCAAAGCGGCCGGCGGCGAAGCCCACCCCTGCTAGGCCGGCCGCTCGCGGCAGCGCCGACGCGCGGTACGCGGCAAAGGGCTGGAACCCCTCGTGGAAGGACTCGATGTTACCCTCGTCCTCGGGAAGCTACCTCGCCGCTCGTGACGCCAACAAGGTATGTGCTGCCTGCCATCGCCGTTCCAACCTTGCACTTGAACGCCGCGGACTGGCCGGCCTGTGATGCCCGCATCCCTCCTCTAGGTGACCGGCCGGCGCGGCATTTCGCGCACAGGCTACGACAAGAAGAAGATCACGCTCGCAGGTCCCCACCCCGCCACTGCCACCCTCCCAACCGTCACCCTCACCGCCGCAACCCTCACCGCCGCGCTCACCACCTTTCCTCATCCACCTCCTCCTCCCTCCCTCTCGCCCTCAGGGCCAAAGGTGGTTGGCCCGCGCACGTACGTCGACCGCCGCGCGCAAGGCGTCGCCTCCCTCTCCCTCCTCGCCGGCTACGCGCTCTTCTTCAAGCCCGCACCCCCAGATGCCGAATAATCGCCAGCTACCCGCATGTCGCCCTATCAGCCCTCGGAGAGACGCATATCCGCCAGAGTACCGCTCAGAACAGCGGCGCGAAGGAGAAGCACTAGACGAGAGAAGATAGTCATGCCGACGTAGAGCCGGTCATCGATGCCGTGCGCGTGCCTCTACCTTATGGGGAGATATGGGGAGATATGCCGTGCGCGTGCCTCTACCCCTGCCTGCCCTCGCACAGGCCCGCGCCGCCGAAGCCAAAGCCAACCGGCCCGCCGCTCCTTCCGATCCTCGGCGCCGCCGCCGCCCTCCTGGCCGCCGCAGCCGCCGCGGGCGGATCGTCGCCGAGCGCCGACACGAAGGCCCCCCCCCCCCCCCCCAAAACACCCACCCACCCACACCCTTGTCCCCTCACTTGTGTGTGCGATCTGGAGACAATCTATCACAAGCCCCCCCCTCCCCCTTCCCCCTCCCCCTCCCCTCTTCCACCACCTTGTGGATGGGTTCTGGAGACATTAGCCTCAGCCTTACCCAACCTGCCACAAGGCGGCGGCGGCGGCGGCGGCCCCTGCGGCGGCCGAGTCTGCCCCCAAGGCGGAGGGTGTGGTCGTGCCGACGGAGCGCCGTGCTGGACGCGACCTTGATCTTGCGTCCACGCACCCTCCTTTACGGGTGGCACTCTTGTCTTGTTTAGGAGCCCTTCCTGGACCCGCTCTCGGTCCAATCGGCCAGCGGCCCTATAGATGCGGAAACGCCAAAGGGCGGTGCATTGCCGCGCGGCTGGCCGTCGAGAGGACGCGTCTTTGGAAGTACTCCGCTGAGGGGCTGTATTCGAGTGCTCACACACGCTGATTCGCGGGTGATGACGGACCTAGGCCAGCGACGGCGCGGTGGCGGCGGCGGCGGGCGCAGACGGCGGATCCGGCTCGCTCGGCTAGCCCGCGCGCCATTCTGCGGCCAGAGGTGGGCAGGCCGCGGAGCCGCGTAGGGCGGCACATGTCATCACCGCGCCGGCAGCAGCGGGGCCGGTTGGCGCCGTGAGCCCTAGACGGCGCCTCGCCCCGTTGCCTCGCCCGATGCTCTCTCTTCTTGCTCTGTGCTGCTCACCGCCCGGGAGGGTCTCTCGCTGCGGCTGCTTTGGTTTGCCTTTGGCTTCTGCGGACTCTCGTCTGTATCGTGATAGCTTGCGTCGCTCCCTCCCCGCGGCTCTCACACGTAACAAATAAATAAATAAAAACGGACACCTCTCTACTGTGCGAGCGTGTGAGATGGGTGAAATCTGAAAACAAAAAAGGAACAGGTCCCCGCCCGTACGGCTTTAAGCCGCGTAAGGAGTTGGACGTTTATTGTTTTTGTTTTTTTGCCGCGTGTAGATTCTCTCCTCGAGTCGATCGTTGTAGGGCGTCCACTGACGACTGAGTACTCGAGCACGCTAAATCCTAATCTCGACTCGGGCAAGCGTGCAGCGGCGGCGGTGCGCAGGGGAGATGTGGGTGGCGTCGTAAGGGTGAGGGCGATTGCCGCCCTCCCCCCTACGCCCACCTCGACGCCTTCGTGAAGGCGCCCCGCGTCTCTGCCTCTTTTGGTCTTTGGCGAATATGCGACCGACGTGCCACCAGCGAAGCCAGAGCAGCATGTTGATGAGAGCCGTCGTGAGGTGGAAGACGCGCAGCATGCTGAGCGGGAAGAGGCGACCAGGCTGGCGTGTGCTCGCTAGTGGCGGCGCTCCGACGAATTCTTTTAGTACAGGGTGCAGGGCTTGGCGGCTTGCAAATCGCGGGAAAATTCTTTTTCTCGGGCGGGTGCATACACGGAGTGAGCTAAGTGCCTCGCCGCCCTCGCAGGAGTCGCTTAGGCGGCTCCCGTGGTGTACCTGTGTTAGTGCCAGTGCGCGCCAGTCCCGTGCCCAGTGTTGTAGGTAGGTAGGTAGAAAGGTGAAGAACAGCCAGGCTCGGACTGGACACCAACGCGGTATGGGTGGACGCAAGACAGATGATGACGACACGCACGAGCGACACACAGACACAAACAAGCTCACAAGACACACAGCCAGCTGGCTGCCACACACCCTGAGTTGGCGTACACATAACTCAGGGCCACATTCCTCCTGTCGCCCCCCCCAGCACTCCAAGGTGCCAAGAGAAACAAACAAGGGCACAACATCACAACAGACGACAGGAGGTAATATGCGAGGCTAGAGCAGGCTTGCTCCACCTCTAGCAATCTCGCCGGCCGGCGAGGCACGGACGAGACCGTGTGTGGGGTTAGTGAGGTGTCTATGGTCGCCCTCCTCACGGGCTAGCCGCCAGCGGCCAGCCCTATCTCGCACTCACTGGCGGTGACAATTCAATGTGTGAGTGTTAGCGAACAGAGGCACGTGTGCTAATTCTAGGCCGCACGTCGTGGCACTATGACGAAGGTAGACGTGCGGCTGCAGCGCGCCCGCCGCAGGCTCGGCGGTGCGCGCGTGTTAGCGATAAAGTTGCGGGTAGAGCCGTTCCCGACTTGTCGAATGCGAGGCCTCTGCGACGAGTGCCAGTCGCGCTGCGGAGCCACGCCCTTCGAGCCGCGTCCCGTCGGCACTACCCTCGAGTGCGTGTCGCTTTGGTTGGCGACACCCACTCGTCGAGGGCAGTCCAGCCGACGGGAGCCTGTCGCGCGCCGGCGACGAATGCGGCGGGGTGGGTGTGGGTACAAAGCGCCGCTTCGACGAAGCGAGGTAGGCAGGCGCCCCTCACGAGTCCGTTCAGACATGCCACACGCCCCTCGCAAGCGAGGTTAGTAGGCGCCCCTGGCAAGACCCGCAAGAGATGCCACACCACCCTCGTACCTATACTCCACCAAGTCAAGGTGAAAAGATCTTATCAGCCAGGCGGGCAGGGCAGGCGGGCAGGCGGGCGGGGTCAGGGAAGAGGGCCCTCGGGTTACGCCTCGCCCGGCCCCCTCCGAGGGGGGAAGGGGAAAGAGTGGGGCCCTCGGGGTGCGCCTCTCCCGGCCCCCTCCGAGGGGGGAAGGGAACTATTCTCTGTCCATCTACAGCGTGGGTGGTGGTACACTGCGTCGAGACAGCTCCGCCTCGCGCCCCGCCTTCCTGGAATACTTACGAATACCCAGCGCGGAATACAATACGTAATTAATTAATGAATTAACTAGTTAGGTTAGGACGTGGAATACAGCACTCGAGGTCATTAAGTAATAATAAATTAACAAATAATTAATTACCCTACCGCCTAGTGTTGTGCGAGGGAGTGCGTTTTAAATAATTCTTTTTGTGCGATGTCTGGCCCCGCCGCGCCGCCGCTCGCGCCGCCTCGCCACCGGGGCCACCGCCTCCGCCGCCGCCGCCCCCTCGCCAGACACGCCGCCGCCCGCCCGCCTCCTCGACCTCCCCACGGACCTCCTCGAACGCACCCTCTCTCGCTGCGACAGCCCCGTCGACATCGCTCGCGTCGCGGCGGTCTCGCTGCTCTTCCACGCCTCGCTCGCGGCGGAGGCCATCCGCTTGTGGGCGCAAGAGCGCGGCTTCGAGCTGCCGGCGCAGCCTGAGGACGAGGGCTGCGCCGTGCGGTGGCTGTGCTTCGCTGCGTTGCTGTGCGAGTCCAACCCGCCGGCGAGGGCGGCGGCAGGCCAAACGCACAGCGTCTTCATCGACGGCGAGGGGCGGCTCTCGTCGTGCGGCTCGGAGGAGCACGTCGTAGGCCTCCTTGGCCACGGCGAGGGCGTGGCGCGGCTCAACACGCCGACCCGCCTCCCGTCGCCGCTGGGAGGCGACCGCGCCGTGAGCGTGTCGGCAGCAAACGGGCACAGCCTCGCCCTCACCGCCGACGGCGATGTCTGGAGCTGGGGCTGTGGAGGGGACGGCCAGCTGGGCCACGGCGACATGCAGTACCAGCCGCTGCCAATGAAGATCGCAGCCGTTGCGGGCCAGCGCGTCGTCGCTGTCTCGGCTGGATACGACCACAACCTAGCCCTCGCCGCCAACGGCTCCGTCTGGAGCTGGGGCTGGGGATTCTCCGGCAAGCTGGGCCACGGCGACCGGCAGCACCAGCTGCTGCCCAAGAAGATCGAGGCCTTCGCCGATCAGCACGTCGTCGCGCTGGCAGCTGGGCAGGACCACAGCATCGCCATCACTGCTGACGGCAGCGTCTGGAGCTGGGGCGGAGGATTGTTCGGTAGGCTGGGCCACGGTGACCAGCAGAAGCAGCTGCTGCCGAAGAAGATCGAGGCGTTGGCAGGGCGGCGCATCGTTGCCATATCGGCGGGAAATAACCACAGCCTCGCCGTCACCGCCGACGGCGCTGTCTGGAGCTGGGGCTGGGGAATGTTTGGCATGTTGGGCCACGGCCACGAGCATGACCAGCTGCTGCCGAAGAAGGTCGAGGCCTTTGCTGGCCAGCGCGTCGTCGCTGTGTCCGCTGGAGGTCCGCACAGCCTCGCCATCACCGCCGACGGCAACCTCTGGAGCTGGGGCAGTGGACGCGAAGGCCAGCTGGGCCACGGCGACGATCAGACCCAGCTGCTGCCGAAGAAGGCCGAGGCCTTGGCGGGCCAGCGCGTCGTCGCTGTGTCGGCTGGAGCATACCACAACCTCGCCCGCACGGGCGATGGCGCTGTTTTTGCCTGGGGCAAGGGCGGCCACGGCTGCCTAGGCCACGGAGACGACCTGTCGGACCAGCTGCTGCCCAACAAGGTCGAGGGGCGGGCGCCGGGGCAGTGAGGGAGAAGGGCGAATTTGCTCTGTGTTTTTAGACAGAGAAAAAGAAAAACTGCTGCGGCCCGTCTTTTTCTCGCGATGTCTGCCCCTCCGCGCCGCCGCTCGCGCCGCCTCGCCACCGGGGCCACCTCCTCCTCCGCCGCCGCTCCCGAGCACGCATCGGCGCAAGCTTCCCTATATCCGCCGTGAAGTTGCGACGCCGCCACCCTCCGAATACCCCGACTTGTGTCTGCGTTCTCCGGCCCGCTCCGGCCACGCCGATGTCGGACAGCGTCGACGAGCCACCGACTCGAGCCGTGGTGCAGAACCACCTCGGCGCAGTGCAAGCGCGGCTGGGCGACTACGTCTTCAGTCTGGTGCGCAAACACTCGCCGCCTGCTCCCAGAACACAAACACAGGACTCGCCGCCTGCTCCCAGCACACCACAAACACAGGACCATGTCGCCGGCCGCAGCAGACACAATCCCACAAATCACCACCTGCCGTCTCCACCCTGTAGTACCTCGACGCCCTCAAGCAATACCAAGTGCGAACTCTAAGCATCTCTGCCCTGATCGAGCGAGTCGAAGACCTCTTCGCCGGCCACACCGACTTGCTCCTCGGCTTCCGCTCCTTCCTTCCCGCCGCCCGCCGCTGCTCTTCCGCCGGCTCTTCTCGCGCCGATAGCCCGGCTGCGGCGGGAGCGACACACTCCATCTCGATGCCAATTCTCCTCCGCACCGCCGCCGCCGCCTTGGCTCCAGACAGCGAAGAGGAGTTGACGGTTGCTCCGTCTTCAGGCTCAGCACCGTCCATGGCCGCGTCGCCCACGGCCGCATCCTCGCCGGACGAGCCGCAATCCAGCCGCGCAGCCTCGGCTCCGTCGCCTGCGGTGGCCTTGCCTCCCGCGGCCGCAGCCTCACCGGCCGAGCCGCAGACTGTTCAACTTGCCGCCACCGGGGACACGATTCTGACCGTGGAGGTGCAGGGAGAGGACCTGGTCATCGTCGAGTGCCTCACCCCCAGTCCCTTTGGCATGCCGTCGCCATCGCTCCTCGGCACCTCCTTCCTGCGCATCGTGCACCCAAGGGAAGCCCGCATATGAGACGAGAAGTACGCCCACGCCTCTCCTCGGCCCTAACAGACGGCCACTGTGATTGAGCGTAGGAGCAGTGGGTCCTGATGAGAACGGCGGACGCTCTCCTCGCCATCAGCCCGTCCGCCGCCCCGGCCAGCCCGACCGCGCGCCTCCTCCTACGGGTCCTGCTGGCGCCGCCGGGACCCGCCGGTCTGCAGCCGGCCGTGGGCACCTCGGTGGTGGTGGACTTGAACCTCTCTGTCCTGGAAGGCAGGCCGTCGCAGCTGCTCGTCTCGTCGCGATACGCCATCCCGCTCGACGCCGCGTCTCCCGTCCTCGGCCTCATCACGCCCAACCGGTGGATCATTACCCAAGGAGACTAGAAGGACAACGATGAAGAAGGAGAAGAGAAGCTCGGGAACTTGAGGCTCCAACGGCGACTACCCACACCGCTGCCCCGGTCAGACAACAGAGGCCGCCGTGGCCGGAGCCAGCCCGCCTCCAAAGGGCATGACCACGAACTGCGAGCCTCTGCCCAGGCGACCTACCCGCTGACACCTGTGACGTCTGCGAACACTACATACACTTACTGGCTACTCTAACTTACTCACCCTTTGCTTGCACATCACTCCCGCGCGCGCGAGGGTATGCTCATGGCATGCAGTGTACGTCCATGATTCACTTTTACGTTTGCCTGCGCAGTGTGAGAGCCACATCTGTGACCATGTGAGTCGCACGTGAGTACAACTCTATGTACTGAGGAAGAAAACGCGGTCAATTGTGCACACACGCATTCGCTACGGTACTCTCTAGTGACACACCTGACCAAGACCAGACGCTGTGTACTCTGAAATCTTTTTGAGCTGGCCCCGCCTCAAAAAAGAATTTTACAACAAAGCTCCCTCGCACAACACTGGGCACGGGACTGGTGCGCACTGGCACAAGGAAAAAAGAAGCTTCTTTCGCCGTGCCTCGATGACATCTAGCCGTCGCTTCTCAGCAGCCTCGGCCTGCACGGCCGGCAGCCGATCAGACGTTCTTGGCTGCGCTCTTGGCAGCACGGAAGGCCTCAGCCGCTCTTCGGCCTGCTTCTCATCATCGTGCTCAAAGCTGGCGCTCACGCAAGCAAGCAATCACTCGGCCCGCTGGAGCCAACGCTTCATGGGGGCGATTGGCTTCGGAGCACTAACGGTCGTGCCAGGTATGGCGAGCGTGATTATGCCGTGCGTCTGGGGACGGCTGTGGGCGGGACACGCGCCGGCCGTGCTTCTGGTCTCACCCTTGGCGCAGCTGACGGCACAGGCACTGCTGGCCGCCGGTTTGTCTTCGGAAGGAGCGAGCGCCCTCGTGCTGGGCCTCCTCCTCTTCTCCCTCGGCCGGGCAGGCATTGCCGTCGCCCAGCACGCGATGCTAGCGAGAACCTTCCGCCAAGATAACCTCGCGTTCGGCTTCTGCATCGTCGTCGGCTGCACGCAGCTCATCGCCAGCGCCTGCGCTTGGGCCGTTCCCCGCGTCCTGGCGGCTAGCGCCGGTGGTAATGGCAGCAGTGGTGGCAGCGGCGGCAGCGGCGGAGGCAGCGGCGGAGGCAGCGGGCTGCTGCAAGTGCAGTTGCTCCTCCTGGTGCCGCATACAGCGTCGAGCTTCGCGCTGCTTGCCCTGCGGCACTCTGCCGCTCGGCGCCCTCTGCGAAAGGCGGGTCGGCAGCGAGACCAGATCCGTCGCGCAAGCAGCTCGCGCCTGCCGCAGCGCCGCTGCCAGAGCCAGGCCCAGAGCGGCCGTGGGCGTGGGCGTGGACAGGCGCCGCGTACGACCACCTCCGTCGGCAAGAAGCGATGGTCGCCGTGTGGCTGCTCGCGCTCTGGCGTGCCCTCGCCGTCGGGGGCTGCCACGCCTTCCACCCCGTCGCCATCGCGCTCCTCGTGGGCGGTGGCTTGCCGCTGGTGAGCGCACACACGCACAGCAGCCACCGCAGCAGCACACCGCCCCGCTGGGCAGCAGCCACGGCAGGGGCACACCCCGCTAGGCAGCAGGCAGAGCCCCGACCGCACGCCTCGATGTGAAACAATGATGACGGCTCCGCGGCCCCAAGCGCGTCGAGAGGCCCTGGCGCAGCCCAAGTCCGGCGAGCTCGCTCGTTGACCTTTCGCCGGCCGCTCCCCGCTCCACAGGGCGCCGCGGGCAGCGTGCTCGCTGCCAACGCGCTGCTCTCGCTCTCCGCGTTTGGGCTTGTGGGGCTGCTCGGGCGGGCAGCGCGCCTCAAGACGCTCCTCGTCGCGGCGCCCCTCCTCGCCCTCGCCGCATCCCTCGCGCTCTGGCGGCTGAGCGCTCTGTCGGCAGTCAGCGCCGACGGCGAGGTTGGGCGCGTTGCGCGGGGCGCGCTCCTCGTCATCGCCCTCGTTAGCGCGGCCGCGCCGATCGTCTCTCGTCTCACTCTCAGGTCCGTCTCACTTCACATCTTCAGTCTTCACGCACGACATTCAAACCAACTTACCTCCATCTCGCACATATCAGTATGCGTCTAAAAACAGACCATGCACTCACACGGACAGCGCTCGCGTGCGGGAGCGCGTCAGATTCGAGTTCCTTCCTCATCGCGATATGCCCCGCGCCTCTCCAGCCTGCGCCCTCTCGGACGCGCAATGGCTTAGTGCAAAAGGAAGGGACGCCCATAACGCCTCCGGGGCAGTGGCGCGGCGCGGTGTTCAGCGCGCGCGGGAGAGAGCGGGGCGGGCCTACGGGAAGGGGCGGCACGGTGTGACCTCTTGAAAGGAGAAGGGGGGGGGGGGAGTGGCGGGCCTTTGGCGCGGGCCGCTTGACGACGATCTTCTTGACGGCCTGACCACACACGCGCGGACTGTGAAGAGCTCCCCCAAGCCCCCCCCCCCCCGTTGGTTTGAAGAGGTCATATCGAGGGCGCGCTGAACAGTGGGCCGGGCCAGTGCTTTGGCGTGGGCGTGGGAGACCGTGCTTTTTCGCCTACCGCGGTGGGGGGGTG